TTTATGAACAGTGCTGTCCAAATGCAAACCAGCATTATCCTTACCAGAATTCTTATATATTCACATCACATATTTATCAAGTAGGAGCTTTGGAAAATGAACATTATGCCAAGAGCCATTTCTATCAGCTAGTCAATAGACATAGGGACAGAGAAACAAGAAGAGATACCTGAGGTGGGCAATATGGGGAGGGGCCTTGGCTCAGCAATAGAGCATCTGTCTTGACTGTACTGTACATGGTCCCAGGCTCAAGCTGTTGCATCTCCAGGTAGGGTTGAAAGACACTCTCTTGGAAACCCAAGAAAGGTGCTGCCAGTCAGTGTGAATAATACTGAACTAGATGAACCAATGTTCTGACTCAGTATAATTTTGCTTCCTTATACAGTGGTACCTCAGTTTATGAACTTAATCCATTCCAGAAGTCCGTTCTTAAACCGAAACCATTCTTAAACTGAGGCGCACTTTCCATAATGAGGCCTCCTGGCGCTGGTGCCCTCCACTGTTCGGCTTTCATTCTTAGACTGAGGTAAAGTTCTGAAACCAGGACACTATTTCCGGTTTTGCAGAGTTCGTAAACCGAATCGTTCTTAAACAGGACTGTTCTTAAACTGAGGTACCACTGTACAGGCCAACCCAAGTGCATGCTTAAATCAAACATTTCTTGCTAGAATAATTTTCACCTCTGGGGAGAGAACATTCTTATGTCTAGTGCAATACATCTCATCTTTTTACACACAAACGAACACACACACACACATATACATAGCATTCACCACTGATCCCCTTCTGTGAGCTGAGAAAAGCAAATGTGGACATGCAGGAGGTACCAAATTATTTTTGTTACGTTGCTTTACCATTCCACACCCTATTGACTTGAACTCCCCGAAGGTCTTAAACACCAAGCCCATGAACAGGACAAAGAAATCCAAAGGTGAATAAAGTACAAGCATGATGCCTTGCAAAGCCTCCTTAAGTAACTGAGCTCCCAACTTGGCATGAGGATTATACCGGGGGAATTGGCTATTTTGCAATGAATTTGCAGGTCTTTTTCATTCCATTACTGGGTGCAACAGCTCAGGATATTTCCTGAGAAGCAGAAAGCAATGTGTATAATTTTCTCAGCGATCCTGCAAAGATAGATGAATAGCTGAGAAACTGTTAAGCTTGTGACAGGGAAAGTATAAGGGTAAATGCTAAAAAGGTGCATTTTGTGTGATCCAAATGGTTAGTGACACCACTGTTTTTCATATGACATTGCAATCATCCTCCATTTGGTATTTAACGCATAATGCATTGACCTGTCTTGGTCCTTCTGGTATTCCTCTAGCACCTCTGTCACCTGACTAGATGAGCACTTAGCCATATAAGTTAAGTGCATAGGTGGTTTTCTGCAAAAAAGTAAAATAAAATAAAACCTTCCCTTCTTGAAATTTATGGTGGCATTTCCATTCAGTTCTTTTAGGTAAGCATCTTCTGTGTTGTGAGATACAGTGGTCTCGGCCGAAAAGTCTGCATAATAGTACTGCATAATAACCTGAGGAGCTTCCCATGGCCCCTGTACCTGAAATGAAGACACAAGGCAGGTGTGTAGTTAAATGGTCACAACTTTATAAAGGACTAGCAAGGAGTGCCCACTGGTGGCTGGGAATTTTTAGGGACCAGAAAATATTGCGTTTTTTAAATAGATAGTGTAATTTGCCAAAAATTGTATGAAGTCAAATTTGGGTCTGCCATCTTGATTCAAAATAGCACATGGAACCCAAACCTCAGTGAAGACTCCCAGCCTCATCTCAGGAATTCTTGTGCCATGTTTGGTGATGATATCTCAAGAGGCAGATGAAACTGTGCCAAAAAACAGGCAAAGTCATGCCAAAGTCATGCTTCAGCCTGTCATTTTGATTCAACACAGTGTCCGAAATCCAAATGGTACTAGTCAGCCAGGGGTGCCAACTTGAATAAAATATGGGGAGGGCAGTTAAGCTCTGCCCCACATAATCAGTCACAAAAAGCAGCGCGCACACACCATTTGAATGGCCATCAACTTTGCTGCCCCAGACCCCTCAAATATTTTATTGGGGAGACCAAGGGCCCACAGCCCCTAGGAGTTGACTCCTCTCTGAAGAGTGTCCCTCCTCCCACCTCAGAAAGCCTCACGACAAGTTTGGAAACAATAGTTCAAGAGGCAGCCAAACTTATAAGGAACAGACAGACAACAAATCATGTGTGTGTGTGTGTGTGTGTGTTTAAATGATGGGCATGCAGCAATCAAACCTTCCCTAAACTTTTCTTGCTTTTGCTTTGAATTTCTGGTTTTTGGGGGGGGGGCAGAGTACACAAAACCAAATATTTTTATATGTCTTGTGCTACAGCAACTATAAGGACCATAGACTTAAAGTTTGCTTCACAAATAGGTGTATAGGGCAGTCTCCCACAGAGTGCTTTTGCAAACACAAGGATTTTTCCTTGTGCTACTGAATTTACCCTTCCTCTATTTACCCTGCTGCAATCTAATCCAGAGGGATGGGAGAAATCCCAGAACAGATCTGGGGGGTGCACAGGGAGAAAAGGTCCATTGCACAGCCCAAAGTCCATGTGCAAATAGAAGTGCTTTCTTGGATACCATCCCTTAGATCCAGTTATATTTCCCACACATAGATTCACACATCTGTGCTGTGGAATTGTGAACACGGCTATGGTGGGCAGGAGAATATTTCATGCAGCACCATCTGCACACAGAAGCCTATTTCTAACCCAGATTGCCCTTGCTGAATTGGGCCACTGGTGGTTATTAAACTGATGTCTTGAACACTTGACTACCTTTGTGTAAAATATGCTGCTAGCCAAATTGCCTAAAAATAGTTTTTTGGGTTTCTCCCCACATCTTCAGAGATTTTATTGCTGCCATACCTTTTAAGCATGCAGTGCTTAGTGATGCTGCAATAACACTTAAATAGCTTGAAGGGTGTTCTGTTCAAGCTGCAGGGAGAAAAAATTATAATATTCTGATGAACGTGGAAACGTGACATCTGGTATATATCACGGAATTATGTTAACATGGCAAGACAAATATCTGCATAAGGTTAAAACGTACAAGTGTAATTGTTTCCTGTCTTGCAGTGGGAGGCAGCACTAAACTCACACAAGATCTTGGTAAGATTTAAAATGTGCAAAGATTCACACTGAGCTTGGCAATCTGCCTGCTAGAGCCAGCTCACTTCTAGCTTTAATATTTAAGAATAACTAGAAGGAACCTGTTGACAGACTACAAACAGTGACTCAGAAGGGGAAAATATGTCTTAAATCCTCCTTTCATTTACCTGGGAGTCTTTTGGGAAAGTACTGAGAAGCATTATCTGTCCATCATAGTTTGAAACTGCCTCAGCAACATGCTGCAGTAAGTCTCAGCTAAGCCCTGGTTTGAGGAAAGTGTCAGAAGTTGCTGATTGACAAAAGGCATGAAGCAGGGAAGGGACACAGTGAAGATATTCACAGGTGATAACAACGACAGTTCTTCCCCTGAAGCACTACATGGGCACCTGGGACAAAGTAGTTGTTCTACAGTATTTTCAGCCGCTAACAGAAGAGGAACATAAGGAGCTGCCTCATATGGAGATAGAGCACTGGTCCATCCAGTCAGTGGAGTAGCATGGGTTGCCAGTGCCCAGAGCTGTGCAGAGGGGGAGGGAAATGGATGGGGTAGGCATGCACATTCAACTGCCTAACAGCATCTGCATCACCCAGGAGATCGCAGGTGCAAAGTTAAGAAAGCAGAGTCATTCCATTGTCTGGAGAGGTTACTTCCTGGTTCGCGTGGAGAAGCCTTTTCAACTAAGCCTAGTGACGGAAGCACACAGCTGAATTAATGTGGGACTGGCTGTTGAAATTTTGCACCCCTAACAATTCTGCAACCAAGGCAACCGCTTCTTTCTGTGCCCCCCCCCCCCCCCGGGATCCAGCTCAGTCTTGTGGACACTGACTGGCAGGAACTTTTCAGGGTTTCAGATAGGACTCTTTCCTGACTGTACCTGGGACTTTTTGCCAAGCAGATGATCTGCCAATGACTTACAGCTGTTTCCCACACTGACAGAGAGCTGAGCTAAGTACACAGCCTTGTCTGTCTGTCTGTCTGTCTGTCTGTTTGTTTGAAGGAAAAGATTTATTTATTTTTGCTTAAATGCTGTACTGTAAAATTGTCATTAAATAAACAAATGCACACAAATAAAACTAGCTATAATTTCCTAACGGCTGTTGGCATGACATCTGTATTGAATTCCCTTAGGGTTGCCAATTTTGGATATAAACACACACACACAAGCATGGGCTCCAGTTGTCTGCCTTTTGAGCAATGCAGTAATGATTTGGGAGTCTCTTTGTCATGTGGCTGTCTTGTCCTGAAAACCATTCTGAATTTTTGAGCATACCTGGCAAACTGTCAAAAAAGAAAAGAAAAAAAAGCTGAAGCAATTAAAAAAAATCATTTTATAGGAATGCTCAAAAAATCCAAAAGGCAGTAATCATAGAGTCCCTCCCCCTGCCTAGCAAAAAGAACCTCTGTTGTTACAATCTTGCATTGGGGAAAGAGGGGTGGTGCCAGCAAGGTTCTCTTTATCACAAATGTGACATCACAAAAGGCCTCTCATTAGCTGGAAGTGGCAAAATGGAACATCATTTCTGGCCTGGTAGTGATGATGAATAACCTGTCCTTCACCCCAAGGTCCCAGGGCAGGTTACAACATTACAATTCAAATTAAAAACAGTTTAAAATACCTTAAAATCACAAAATAATGTAGGTCTCCAAAACAGAGACTACAAGCCATACTCTTTTTAAACTACAAGTCTCACGATGCTCTGAGTTTGCAGGGCAGCAGTTGAAGAAGGAGCAAAAAGGGTTTTCTTGTGTGTGTTTCTTTGTGGCTGATTGGCTGCTCTCCCTGTGCAAAGGTCAGAGGGGGCAGGGTTTCTGTTGAGGCAGGTGATTAGCTGTGGGAGGAGCTTATCAGAGTTTGCAGGGCAGCAGTTGAAGAAGGAGCAAAAAGGGTTTTCTTGTGTGTGTTTCTTTGTGGCTGATTGGCTGCTCTCCCTGTGCAAAGGTCAGAGGGGGCAGGGTTTCTGTTGAGGCAGGTGATTAGCTGTGGGAGGAGCTTATCAGAGTTTGCAGGGCTAGCGGCGCGCGCAGTTTGATCCATCTTTTAGATTTAGGGGAGCTAGTCTCAAACGTTTGTTGGGGGAGACCTAGGTTTTTTTGTGGGGGGAGTTATTTTTCCTGTCTTCACGCTTTTTATGATGGAGGACCGCTGTAGCCACCCCCAACGACACGTTCTCAAGATGGAGGGGGAGGGAACAGCTGCAGTTGCCTGCGGTTCCTGCGCAATGTTTGCCATCTTGCCAAAGGTTGCAGGCAGCTTTACCTGCAGCAATTGCATGTTGATTGCCCTCTTAAAAGACAAAGTCCAGCAACTGGAGGAACGTGTAGCTACGCTCCAAAGAATTAGAGAGCTGGAGCTCTTCTTGGAAGCAACAGAGCACACCGTCTCCACCAAGGAGGAGACAGGGGACTCCCCTGAGAAGGACGCTAGTTCACCAACACAGGAGCCAGATATATGGAGAAACGTGACTCAAAGAAGTAGGAGGCCCAGGGTTCGCTCTGATTGTTTAGAAATACACAATCGCTTTGAGGTCCTCTCCCCTAGCATGGAAGACGAAGAGCAGACTCCATTTGAGGATCTCTCCCTTATTACAGTCGATCAGGTATATGAAGACGAGCAGCAAAGTCAGTCCTCAGGGAATGTGCAGGCGACCTTGGAGCGGACAGCTCACGGAAGAACCCCGACCAAACCTAAGAGGAGGCGTGTAGTGGTGATAGGGGATTCCCTACTGAGGGGAACAGAAGCAGTGATCTGTGGGCCTGACAAGATGTCTCGGGAAGTGTGCTGTCTCCCCGGGCTAAGATCCAAGATGTAACTGAACGACTGCAAGGAATCATAAAACCCACTGACAAATACCCCTTCCTCTTGGTTCATGTGGGAACCAATGACACTGCAAGCAATAGCCTCCAGAAGATCAAAAGAGACTACGAGGCTCTGGGCAGGAAATTGAAGCAATTAAATGCACAAATTGTGATCTCATCTGTCCTCCCAGTTGAACGACGTGGCCCAGGGAGAGAGGGGAAAATAGTGGAAGTGAACAGCTGGCTTCGCAAATGGTGTAAACAGGAACGGTTTGGATTCTTAGATCACGGACTGCAGTTTCTTGAAGATGGACTTCTGGCAAACGATGGGCTGCACCTCACAACGGTTGGGAGAAATGTTTTTGCCAAAAATCTCAGAAACCTCATCAGGTGGGCTTTAAACTGAGTAGTGTGGGGGAGGGAGACAGTGCTCCTGAAGGTAGGAGTCTATCAAGTGATGAAGATGATCATCCAAATGTCATAGACCAAATGGAGCAAACAGCACACAGACCTAGTGGTGGGAGGAAAAAATCCTTAAATAAGAGACACGGGGGGAATGATTAATGGACTTCAATGTCTGTACACTAATGCGCAAAGCATGGGAAATAAACAAGATGAGCTTGAGCTCTTGGTACAGCAGACTAAATATGACATAATAGGCATCACTGAAACCTGGTGGGATAAGTCCCACGATTGGAATGTAATAATGGGGGATACAATCTATTTCAGAGAAACAGACCAGACAAGAAAGGAGGAGGAGTGGCGTTATATGTCAGGGATGTGTATACCTGTGAAGAGATCCAAGATTTAGAACCTCAAAGCCAAAGTGAGAGCATTTGGGTCAAAATTAAGGGAGAGAAGAATAACAGTGACCTCATTGTGGGAGTTTACTATAGATCCCCAAGCCAAACGGAGGACATAGATGATGCCTTCCTGGAACAGATGGCCAAGCATGCAAAAGGAAGGGAGATAGTAGTAATGGGGGACTTCAATTACCCGGATATTTGTTGGATGTCAAACTCAGCCAAGAGCATAAGGTCAAACAGATTCCTCACTGGCCTTGCAGACAACTTCATTGTCCAGAAAGTGGGAGAAGCAACAAGAGGAACAGCCATTTTAGATCTGGTCCTAACCAATGTTGATGACCTGGTTAGTGGGGTAGAAGTGGAAGGATCATTAGGCGCGAGTGATCATGCTCTTCTGAAGTTTACTATACAGCAGAAAGGAGCAGCCAAGCATACTAGGACTCAATTTCTTGACTTTAAGAAAGCTGACTTCATAAAACTTAGGGAAGTGCTGGGTGAGATCCCATGGACAGTAATACTAAAAGGAAAGGGAGTTCATGATGGCTGGGAGTTTGTTAAGAGGGAGATACTAAAAGCACAACGTCAGGCAATACCAATGAGACAGAAACATGGAAGGTGCCTAAAGAAGCCAGGGTGGCTATCTAAAGAACTTTTAACTGAGTTAAGATTTAAAAAGGACGTGTACAAAAAATGGAAAAGGGGGGAAACCACCAAAGAGGAATTCAAACAAATAGCCAGCACGTGTAGACACAAGGTCAGAAAAGCTAAAGCACAGAATGAACTCAGGCTTGCTAGAGAGGTTAAAAGCAACAAAAAAGGCTTTTATGGGTATGTCAGTAGCAAAAGGAAGAACAAAGAAACAGTGGGGTCACTCAGAGGAGAAGATGGTGAAATGCAAACAGGGGACACAGAAAGGGCTGAACTCCTCAATGCCTTCTTTGCCTCAGTCTTCTCCGATAAAGAAAACAATGCCCGACCTGAAGAATTTGGAGCAAATGATTCAGCAAAGGAAACACAGCCCAGAATAACTAAGGAGATAGTACAAGAATACTTGGCTAGTTTAGATGTATTCAAGTCTCCAGGGCCAGATGAACTGCATCCAAGAGTATTAAAAGAACTGGCAGATGTGATCTCAGAACCACTGGCAGTCATCTTTGAGAATTCCTGGAGAACGGGCGAAGTCCCGGCAGACTGGAGGAGGGCAAATGTTGTCCCTATTTTCAAAAAGGGGAAAAGAGAGGACCCAAATAATTACCGCCCAGTCAGTCTGACATCAATACCAGGGAAGATTCTGGAGCAGATCATTAAGCAAACAGTCTGTGAGCACCTAGAAAGGAATGCTGTGATCACCAATAGTCAGCATGGATTTCTGAAAAATAAGTCATGTCAGACTAACCTGATCTCGTTTTTTGACAGAATTACAAGCCTGGTAGATGAAGGGAACGCAGTGGATGTAGCCTACCTTGATTTCAGCAAGGCATTTGACAAGGTGCCTCATGATATTCTTGTAAAGAAGCTGGTAAAATGCGGTCTTGACTATGCTACCACTCAGTGGATTTGTAACTGGCTGACTGACCGAACCCAAAGGGTGCTCATCAATGGTTCCTCTTCATCCTGGAGAAGAGTGACTAGTGGGGTGCCACAGGGTTCTGTCTTGGGCCCGGTCTTATTCAACATCTTTATCAACGACTTGGATGATGGACTCAAGGGCATCCTGATCAAATTTGCAGATGACACCAAACTGGGAGGGGTGGCTAACACCCCAGAGGACAGGATCACACTTCAAAACGACCTTGACAGATTAGAGAACTGGGCCAAAACAAACAAGATGAATTTTAACAGGGAGAAATGTAAAGTATTGCACTTGGGCAAAAAAATGAGAGGCACAAATACAAGATGGGGGACACCTGGCTTGAGAGCAGTACATGTGAAAAGGATCTAGGAGTCTTGGTTGACCACAAACTTGACATGAGCCAACAGTGTGACGCGGCAGCTAAAAAAGCCAATGCAATTCTGGGCTGCATCAATAGGAGTATAGCATCTAGATCAAGGGAAGTAATAGTGCCACTGTATTCTGCTCTGGTCAGACCTCACCTGGAGTACTGTGTCCAGTTCTGGGCACCACAGTTCAAGAAGGACATTGACAAACTGGAACGTGTCCAGAGGAGGGCAACCAAAATGGTCAAAGGCCTGGAAACGATGCCTTATGAGGAACGGCTAAGGGAGCTGGGCATGTTTAGCCTGGAGAAGAGGAGGTTAAGGGGTGATATGATAGCCATGTTCAAATATATAAAAGGATGTCACATAGAGGAGGGAGAAAGGTTGTTTTCTGCTGCTCCAGAGAAGCGGACACGGAGCAATGGATCCAAACTACAAGAAAGAAGATTCCACCTAAACATTAGGAAGAACTTCCTGACAGTAAGAGCTGTTCGACAGTGGAATTTGCTGCCAAGGAGTGTGGTGGAGTCTCCTTCTTTGGAGGTCTTTAAGCAGAGGCTTGACAACCATATGTCAGGAGTGCTCTGATGGTGTTTCCTGCTTGGCAGGGGGTTGGACTCGATGACCCTTGTGGTCTCTTCCAACTCTATGATTCTATGATTCTATGATTCTATGATTCTATGAAGGAAGTGAAGCCCCAGGCCCTACTAGTGTAAGTTTTATCTCATTCTCTGAGTCATCACAGCCTGAGAACTTTATTCATTTTGCTTTGTTCCTTGATAACAGTTAAGATCCAGAGCCTGGTACACAAGGTGGAAAGTTTAAAAGCTCTCTGCCTTGGGGACAAGGTCCGCTTGGTGCACCAGCTTGGAAAAGCAGTGATGGTTGTGCAGGGGTAGTTCCATGTTTGTTCTGACTACACAGTTTTGTCTTTGTGTGCAATCCCCAGAATCTAACCTTGCACAGGTCGTGAGTCAACTGTAAATTACCGGTAATATAGGCAGTCTATATGTCCATGTAAACATCCAAATGAGATGGACGATTATAAGGTATACATTCAAATGTAAAAGGGGCATCCTTCCAGGGTTATATCCAGAAGCAGTAGTTTGACACTCCACAGATTTTCCACATTTGACTTTGAAAACAGGGAGCTCCAGTTCCCTGAAATCAGTCATAATAGATCCAGAAGGATGTTATCCCTTCCTCTCCCACAATCTACAGTCCTGCATTGCACAGCTGTATCACATATAATAAGAACTATTATAGGTTCTGTCAGGGAACTGCCATCGGAAGGAAGGGAGGTGAAAGGACTCAGACAGGTTGGAAGAGACTCAGCAGCTGAAGAGGGAACCAGCAAGGGGAGAGAAGCTGAACTGAGGGAGGTGAAAGGGCTCAGACAGGTTGGAAGAGACTCAGCAGCTGAAGAGGAAACCAGCAGGGGAGAGAAGCTGAACTGAGGGAAAGGGAGCTGGGGGATGGCTCAGAGATACTTCCAGCGAAAACAGTGGTGAGGTTTCCGGACCTCCTGTAGCGACACCCACTCCTCGCCGGAAACTGTCACGCAGAGAGTCCAGAAGACGTGTTTCCGTTAAGGAGCTTTTATGTTGGAAGCGATTACGAAGCAACCACTGTCGGAATCTTCTAGTGACTAGAGGAGCCATGTCAGAGGGGCTCAGTCACAGACAGAGGTTTGTGGACTTGAACAAACTCTGAGGGAATACGATTTTACGCACAAGCAGCTCATAATCCCATCACAGGTTCTTCTGAGTCTGAAGGACTGAGAATAACTAGGTGCTGAAGAGATGAAGTTATCATCTATGATTCAATCCGGATTGAACTTAGTTTTAATGTTTGTATGTTCAAGTGTCACAGTTTGGGATGCTGATATTGGGGGATTAATGCTCTCTTCTCTTCAGATTCAGACCTTGGCTGGGATAGTTTATTAGAAACAAGGAGAACAATAAAGCAAGGTAACTATTTCCTTCTTATGTTGGCCAGCTGACACCAAGAAATAATTCTATTGCAGCCAGAAAGGGCCCTATATTCTAAATATGTCTGAGATATATCACAGGAATGGCAGACAGGTTTCACATCCACAGTGTGTTCTGATACTGCAAACACAGGGGAATTTCTACTCCATTTTTGTCAGAATCATTACTAAGCACAAGAACGCAGTATTTTGTTTGCGGAAAGATATTCTAGGCCAAGTTGTCATTTTAAAAAGTATTTTTCACCTCAAACCACCTTTAGGGGAGGGGGTACGCTCTGACATTCCACATGAAAATAGGAACATTCTATTTAAAAGTAATGCAGAATGTCAGAGGCAGGGATGAAACTAATGAAGCTTCAGGGATCCTAAACCCAGAGGGCCCCCAGAAGCAATTTTATTCATGCATGTATATGACGTTTTCCTAATTTTCATCCCCAACACAACTTGAAAACTATAAGGCATAGGAAATATTTATTCACACCAGTGACTTGGACATGTGAGACAATTCAGTACAGCAATTATAATCAAAATCTGAGATGTAGTAGTTTTTGTTTGGTTGGCTTTTTTAATGTGGTGATCTGTCCTGGAACAACTCCGCTGAAGAAGGTAACAGCGGTCCCAGACATTGTTGCTGGTTGCTAAGGGGCCCTGTAACAGTTCAAGCTTCAAGATCCCCAAAATGAAGAGATACCACTGGTTGGAGGGTGTTTAATAATAATAATAATAATAATAATAATAATAATAATAATTTATTTGGGCTGCTCCCAACAGAATATTACAAGCATGATAAAACATCAAACATTAAAAACTTCCATAAACAGGGCTGCCTTCAGATGTCTTCTAAAAGTCAGATAGTTGCTTATTTCCTTGATATCTGATGGGAGGGCATTCCACTGGGCAGGTGCCACCACCGAGAAGGCCCTCAGCCTGGTTCCCTGTAACTTTGTTTCTCACAGTTAGGGAACCTCCAGGAGACACTTGGCGCTGGACCTCAGTGTCCGGGCAGAATGATGGGGGTGGAGACGTTCCTTCAGGTATACTGGGCCAAGGCCGTTTAGGGCTTTAAAGGTCAGCATTTTTGACAGGCCAAATGGTTGCATAGCCTATTCAACTGTTAACGTTTATGTTGACAAACTGTTATTTTTGCCTTCTGTAATAATAATAGCATTTGCCTAATATGCACAACTTTTTTAAGTTGTAAAATCGTCTGATTAAAAAATATAATCTTAAAAGGTTGACATTTCTTAAGGGACGTAATTTCTGTGTTTTGAAACAGGTTTATCCTGAATTTTATTGACTTAAAGGAACCCAAGAGTTACTCGATAGTTTGCATGATTGATGGTTTTGCAATATTTGCTCTTATAATATCCCACTCTGGGATGGCAGCAGTTACAAAACTTGTTGCACTCCAGCTCCTTACAAGCGAAAACTGCCACAGCAGCAGCAACTTCAAATATGGATGTACAACTTGCACTCAAAAAAGTGAGCTTACTTGATTTATGTTTTGCCCAGGTCAAGGACATCAATGTGCCATTGGTGGGAGTAGGGGATGTTATCTTCCTGGCTGATGCAGGCTGTCGGGAGCACTGAAGATATGTGCTGAGGAGCAGCTATCTATGCTTATAATCTGATTTATCTTGGTAGAGACAGGTGATGCATCGATCTTGTAGGCCCAGAATTGACAGGTCTCATCTTTCATGCCTAGCTGTACCTGAGAATCCATTTAGGTAGGTTACACAAGCTGGCCAGACGAAGATTGTGGGGAGGGGAAGGCACTAATGCTTTACTATGGCGAGCTACAAGACTTTTTATTTCATGAGGAAGAATCGACATGGTCTGATTATTATATTTTCAGATGGAAACTACCTCTAGATTATGTTTCCCACACCTGCTCTTGCGGTGTGGCAGCATGAGTTAAAATTCAGCCATGTCAGATTATCTTCCTACCCGTCTATTTTGTGGACTAATTCTTAGGGCCAGTTAACACGTGCACATTATGCTATAGTTGCGTGCATTCTTTATGGTTCATTTCTTTAGCTAAAAAGACCCCCAAAGTAGCTTACAAAGGTTAACACAGACTTGAAATAGCAGAATAAAAACCTTACAGCAAATTTAAAACAGCAATATTTCAATAGCATATTTAAAATTAAAGGCCCAAACAAACCTATCCACATGCCTGAAAACAGCAGCCACTTCTCTCCCTGTGACAAAAGAAAGCAGGAGTAAGTCTGTCATACCCTGGGCAAGGCTTCTTATAAGGTTTACCAGATAACTGCATGGGGCTAGCCCAAGACACACCCCTAAATCAAAGTGCACAGTAGCCAGTTACTTTTGAGAGCTACAACCCCCAGAGTAGTTTAATAAATTAATCTCTTCCCAGGGAATTATGGGAATTGTACCCCTGAGAGAAGAATGGGGTCTCCAAACAACTCTAAGCACCTGTAACAAACTACAGTCCCTAGGACTCTTTGAGAGAAACCATGACTGTTAAAGTGGTACCATAGTGCCTTAAATGAATTCTACAAATGTGGCTTTGTCTCAACTGCAGGTGCCCCCAAACTGTTTCTGCATTATAACAGTAATTTACGATTGTCAAATCTCCAGGTTTGTCTCATGAAGAATGAATATTTAGTTGCCATTGGCCATACATATTTAGGGGTTTCTGTCTAGGCATTGGCCTAATAATGGGTTATTATGGGTTATGCCTGGCGTGCTCTGGTCCATGGGGTCATGAAGAGTCGGACACGACTAAACAACAACAACACGGGTTATGTTATCATCTCAGCAAATGACTCCACTGAGGATTTCCTTCCAGTCATGGCAAACAAGACCATCCAAACACCTTGATGGATGAATGCTTGAGATGGGATCAAGAGAACATGTTTGGGTGTCGAAAAAAAAAAAGGAATGAATTATTGTTCTTAAATCTATACTAGTGCAGCTCTGTTTCGTTGGTGGGTTGGATTTAAACCTGGAATTCCACTAAGAATGAAGTAGAGTAAAAGAAGAAAACTTGATTGCAGGAACTTTTTGAGATTTCCTTACAAATCATTTCCCCCCAAAATGTGATTAATCTTGAATATTCAAAGTCATCACAGCTAAAATAGCCTGCTTAATGTATGTGTTTTGTGTAAATACTTTAAATAAATAATTCATACTATAGTGGTATATGTATGGGCCACAGGTCTACAGATGTCTTTATTGTAATTTCAGTACAGTTTGGGTAACTGGCTTCATGAGCGTGAGGATGAGGCCTCGGCATTCTCTGAATATGTAGAGCTAATGATCTCCTTCTCAATTTTTTCTACATTTGACTCCTGCAACCTCCTCTACTCCACATCTTGTGGTTGCTAAGCAACCTTGCACAGGGTGGCAGAGTGAGCAAGATCTGTCAAATTCATTATTTTGAGGCCTTAAAGAGGCAACCTCTGATGTACTGAAAGAATCTATTCTAAATTATAATTATTATCTCAATTAAGTTATTTTCTCCTGACTAGTTCTGAACTCATGCATATTTTTAGAGGACCTAGGAGAGATCTGGGACTGACCCTAGCAGGGAAGGTAAGAAAACAAAACTCGTGCAGCTGTGCTGGAACTCAGAAACACCTACGAGGTGGGGGGGGGTCACCATCACCTCAGAAATGTAAGCTGTTTCTGCCCCAGGCAGTTAGATTCCTGGGCATTGGGATAGAAGAAAAGGGAACTCTATGGATATTGCTTAATCTTCCACAAATCTATAATACTTTTCTAACAGAACCCAACACTCTGTCTTATTTTTTTTTTTAAAAAAAGGTAAAAGATCCCTGGACGGTTAAGTCCAGTCAAAGGCGACTATGGAGTTGTGGCGCTCATCTCGCTTTCAGGCCGAGGGAGCCGGCGTTTGTCCAGAGACAGCTTTCCAGGTCATGTGGCCAGTATGACTAAACTGCTTCTGGCACAATGGAACACCGTGATGGAAACCAGAGTGCATGGAAATGCCATTTACCTTCCCGCCACAATGGTACCTATTTATCTACTTACATGCTTTCAAACTGCTTAGGTTGACAGGAGCTGGGACAGAGAAACAGAAGCTCACCCTATCATGGGGATTCGAACCACTAACCTTCCAGTTGGCAAGTCCAAGAGGCTCAGTGGTTTAGACCACAGCACCACCCGTGTCCCTCTGTCTTATATATGCTATATGTCATATATATATTATATATCAAGCATATTAGTCTGTATAGGATGTGAAGACCAGAGACAAAAATATCCTCATAAAAATATGGAAGTAGTACTTTCCCCATTCAAATAATCTTACAACCAGTTCTCAAATTGTTACTTAAGCAGCAGGCTCATATCATTATTCAAAGATGTATAATTATACTGCATTTACCCCCCTCCCCAACACTACTGCTCCCCTACGTCTTCCAATGAGGTAAGAGGCCCTTGAAAAATAGGAGGAAGCCTAAAGATAACTCATGAAAGAAGGAGCCTTCCCACTAAAATGCCTTTTGGAGACATTTCAAGCTCCCGCCCAATGTGTGATTTTGCTTGCAGGAGCTGTCTCTTTCGGCTACACAGACCTGAGCCAGCAAATGCATTTCTAGCAAGGCAAACTGCTTGTACCATCTTACACAAGTGCTATCCCATTAATGTTTTACAAGGTGTTAATGCTTAAATGAGGCATTGGTTTTAGGAAGCAGTTTACTACCAAAGGGGACTACTCTCCAAACCCATGTCCTACTCTCCAAGTCCACTGGAATCTTGACCTTGGATTCACTGGAGAGGAAAGCTACTTACAACTAGTAAAGGTAAAGGACCCCTGACCATTAGATCCAGTCGTGGCCGACTCTGGGGTTGTGGCGCTCATCTCGCTTTATTGGCTGGTGGAGCCGGCGTACAGCTTCCGGGTCATGTGGCCAGCATGACTAAGCCACTTCTGGCAAACCAGAGAAGTGCACGGAAATGCCGTTTGCCTTCCCGCCGGAGCGGTACCTATTTATCTACTTGCACTTTAATGTGCTTTCAAACTGCTAGGTTGGCAGGAGCAGGGACTGAGCAACGGGAGCTCACCCCGTCGCGGGGATTCAAACCACTGACCTTCTGATCAGCAAGTCCTAGGCTCTGTGGTTTAACCCACAGTGCCACCCATGTCCCTCTTACAACTAGTAGTTCTGCCTAAATTTATAATGATTTGGTCTGTGCTATCCAGCCTGTTGGTAATTCCTGTATGTGTAGTGGCAACCGATTTGGATGTCTAAACCAGGCTTCCTCAACCTCGGCCCTCCAGATGTTTTTGGCCTACAACTCCCATGATCCTTAGCTAGCAGGACCAATGGTCAGGGATGATGGGAATTGTAGTCTCAAAACATCTGGAGGGCCAAGGTTGAGGAAGCCTGATCTAAATTGTAGCGTGCTTGTCAGATGAGCCACTTTCTCTTTTTTTGCACCTGCATGGATTGCATGACTGAGTGATCGGGTGTGCTCAACTGTATCAGAGCACTTCCCTTGACCCACCACAGAGCGCACCATCCAGGGAAGCCATTTTATTTTATTACAATCTGAGAACAATGCATCATGGCACATGATATGCTGAAGTGTAGGGATGGAAAAACCATGTTGCACTAAACATGCCCATTCCCAAGGTGGCATTAGTTACACTGGGTTCTTCCTCTCAAAATTTCCAGGTCAGACTTCCTACCTGGCCTATCTTTTGGTCGATTAGAACAGATTGTTAACAGAGATTGTGACAGGATTTTTCCTTCTGGCTGTAAAAATACAAAAGGAAATCTCTCCCAATTAAATCCATCCTGTTCAGCTGCTGTTACAGTTTTTAATCTGGTTATTCACTTTTTAAAACTTACTTTTAACTTTCATATTTTAGGTATCATGTTGCACGGCTTATTTAACACATGTTTTGGACATTCCTGATATCTTATAACATATATGTAGTATACAAAGTTAACAGACTTTGTATGTCAGGGTATTTTCGCTGAATGGCTGTACATTTTATGTATTATGACCGCATAATAAAGACTTGATTAGCTCTGCTTTATTTCCTTTTCCTTTTCACTCCCTCCCTCATCATATCACATCACATCACATTTCCTAACCTTAGATAGAGTGTGGAAAGTCTCATAGGAAAAGACAAGTAATAGTAATGCTCCTTCACTTTCCCAACCAGTTTGCAACCATACTACAATTTTTAATGGGGAAAGTATGTTAACATTAAATGAAATGGAACAAATATTTAGGAGGTATTTTGTCTCTTAAATCATTGAGGATGTAAGTCGGCTTTTAAAAAAAGAGATCCCTCCAATATGATTTAAATGTACTGTGGAAGGAAGAAAATCATATAGCAATTCTTGCTTCTGACCTATGAATATTCATTGACCTGTTTGAAGATGCTCTTTCTACCTAATGTTGTCTTTATATTGTGTTCTCCCCACGCAATTGGGATCTCTACTTTTTGCAGATTCTTGAGCACATGGGGAGAGTTCTGGTCTTTCACCCAAGCTTGCCACCACAATCCCTTTTCACTCCCCTCTGTCTGTATATTCAGACATATTAGTCAGGTTGTTTGAAAAAAGCTTATGTTGAATTGAAGTAAACCCCCTGTTCAAACAATCTTATGAGACACCTTGTTACAGAAAACAAACCATAAACACATCTAAACAGCCCCCTCCTCAAATCTTTTTCTGGTCTGACACATATGTCCTATTTTCTCAAGGTTAATTGGTAATTTAGTGATAGCTCCTATAACTAGGTCAGAAGTTAGATCAGTCATCTCACACAATAAACAGAGCAAACACCTTCCAGTAGTCTTGTTAGCTATTCTAATCTAGAATCAATTGTTTTGGTAATAATGACAAGGGACAGGGACAATCCTTTGGGTACTGTAAGCCCTCTCTGATGCTCTTTCTTGATTGCTATTTTCTTTAGAAACAACTTGGTGAAGGGTTGACACTGTTAATGGCACTATAACCATCTTTCTAAATAAACAGTGTTTTAGAAGGAGCATTAAATGAGGAAAAATCCCAGTGGCATACTTGGGAAAAAATTTGAAGCTTAAATTAAAATACTAAATATTCATAAAAACATTAATACAGTGGTACCTCAGGTTACATAACGCTTCAGGTAACATACACTTACTTCAGGTTACAGACTCCGCTAACCCAGAAATAGTGCTTCAGGTTAAGAACTTTGCTTCAGGATGAGAACAGAAATGGTGCTCCACCGGCGCGGCGGCAGCAGGAGGTCCCATTAGCTAAAGTGGTGCTTCAGGTTAAGAACAGTTTCAGGTTAAGAACGGACCTCTGGAACGAATTAAGTACTTAACCCGAGGTACAACTGTAAGACTTTCTTTCACTTCAATAAGATTTAGCATTCAATTCCACTTTCCTGGAAGCACGTCCCATTGACTTTCATAGGACTTACTTCTGAGTAGACATGGTTAGGATTGTGGTGTCAGTTATGAACTGGCATTAGCACAGAGTGGCATGATACAACGAGAGCCCAGCAGGATCAGACCAAAGGCCTATCCAGTTCAGCATTCTGTTCTTACAGTAGCTAACCAGCTGTCTGGGAATCTACACATGAGCTTAGTAGCACTGTCCTTGAAATAGTAGCTATGACAATCCAGTCCTGTGCTAATAGCTATGCCTTGTCTATAAATACTGAATTTGTACACAGTAAATATAGGATCTCACTGCTTTTGTTATGTAGTGTTATGAAGAAAAAGAAGTTTGGATTTGATATCCCGCTTTATCACTACCCGAAGGAGTCTCAAGGCGGCTAACATTCTCCTTTCCCTTCCTCCCCCACAACAAACACTCTGTGAGGTGAGTGGGGCTGAGAGACTTCAGAGAAGTGTGACTAGCCCAAGGTCACCCAGCAGCTGCATGTGGAGGAGCGGAGACGCGAACCTGGTTCCCCAGATTACGAGACTACCGCTCTTAACCACTGCACCATATTGGCTCTTATAATATTATAAATTTAGGGACATTCAGTTCATTAAACAAACAGAGAGGAACCTGGTTTAGGAAATGCAAATGGATCCAAACTGGCAAGCTTAATAGTGGAGCAAAATGTTTCTGATATTCATTCTGTAGTTCAAGTGGAATTTGAACTACTAGATACATAATTCAGCATCTCAGCTGAGTTGTCCTCTGTGGGGCAGAGGACTGTCAATGGCTGGGGCTTTCAGTGCCCCACTTTGTTCTTTCTTATTCCCCAACTGATAAGCAGAAGTCCCTAAATGGACATTTCCTAAATATGCAAAACTGATTTGACTGTAGAATTCAGATTTGTGTGTGCGGAGCATTTGTATTTTTTGTACAAAATACAAAATACTGTGCTCAATAAAGTTGAGTTACCCTTGAATTAAATACTAGGAATGCAATCCTGTGCATGCCTACTCAGCAGTAAGTCCCATTGAACTCAGTGGAGTTATTTCCAAGGAAGTAGGCATAGGATTGTAACCTAAAATTTAAAATTAATGGACCCCTGGCGAACTTACCTGGTGGTGTGTGTATATACCCACCGAAGGGAGGTGGTTGACAACTCCTTTGTTGAGAAGAGTATGAAGCATGTTAGAGGTTGGGGGCATTTTATCATTTATATAACTCTTGGGGGACAGTTAAGATTAGGAACATTTAAAAAACAACAACACATCATTGTCTTTGAAAGTCCTTGGAATCATCTCATATCCTGAAAACCTAACAGCTTCTTCCTCTAGAAGGGTAATCATTAAGTTTAAAAATAAAACATTGCCATTTTCTCCATATCTGGCAGAACGCTACTTCTCTTTAACAGTGACAACTGACACCACAAAACATGGGTATTAATGCCACATCCTGTACTGAATCAGTAGAAGAATATGCAGAAATGGAACTAACTTCCCACACTGGAATACGTCCAGAGCACCTGTTCAACAATGCAATTGTCAGGATTTTCTGTGGATAAATATTGTTTTGTTTCTTGAAAAAAATGCACTTACTGATTATTCCACCTTGGGTTTGATCTACTAGTAAATCAGCCTTGGAACAGATTCAACCATAATTATAACACTCAGGGATTCCTCAAGAGTTTTTCACCAGCCTCAGATTTTAGAAATGCACTGACATATTCCTTCTTTGTCTTGTTAATATTTCTGTAACATATAAGAATGGCCCACAAGAATGTACATAAAAAACACCCCAACTGTGTTTTTATGGCAGAGTTCTCTCTTGGTGCTGTTTTAGTGGAGGAATAAACAAATGTTCCTAACAAGTCTCTAAAATAATATGCTATTAGCATTTGAAATATTGCCTCTTGACTACAATGAAGCGGAGTATTTATATATATAGCATTGCCAAAGTTCTCAAAGCATTTCATTAGGGATGTTCTGAGCGGCCTGATTTCATCCCATTTCAGTGTGGCTGGTGCTCAGTCACAGTTCTGTTCCATCATGTTTTGTGCAAGAATGCAAGTCCGCCTTTAATTTGTATACATTTTTTTAAACGAATGTGCATTCAGGTTGCCAAATCACAAAAATCTGGATTAAGTGTGTGATCCAGTCGGGAGATGCATTTCAATCCACAAATAAGTTTGAGATCCTCACTGTCAGTTGGTCCGACATAACAAATTCTTCTTCCATCCCTACATTTCACACACTTTATTTACTGTGCCATCCTAACCCTGAGATCTCTGCTGCTGGGGAGGGTTAGGCTATGCTGTTCTCCACTGACTTCCAGCAGTTTCTATTGGGGAGTCTCTGATGATGCAAGGGTCTCTGATGTGTCAATCCAGGCAGGAAGCTGGCAGAAAAACCTATGGAAGGACCACAAGCAGGCAGTTTGGGAAATAGGGCAAAGTCCTGTGGATCCCCTGAGGTGTCCAATCTTTATGCTCCTCAACTGCTTCAGTCTGAAGTTAGTGCAGTGGAACATTTTTCTTAAAATCCTCTCTGCCTTCCACCCTGACTGATACCCCTTTTAATCATTCAGATGCTGTGTTCATTCTGCTTCTCCACCATTCCCTGGTCAGGGCATAGCATTGTTCTGTTGGTAATTCTTGGAAAGACCTTCTAAGTTAGGACACTATTATATTGTGTTGAACTCTTGACTACTGGTCCATTATTACTCTCATACCACAGATAACAGTATACGATAGTAATATGACATACTGTACCTAGATTGTTTATGGTTTTACCAGAGTTTTAGCTCAGGCACTTGTTGGCTCAGAATTCAACCCTTAAACCAGGGGTCAGCAACCTTTTTCAGCCGTGGGCCAGTCTACCGTCCCTCAGTCCATGTGGTGGGCCGGACTATATTTTGGAAAAAAATATGAACTAATTCCTGTGCCCCACAAATAACTTAGAGATGCATTTTAAATAAAAGCACACATTCTACTCATATAAAAACACCGGGCAGGCCCCACAAATAACCCAGAGATGAATTTTAAATAAAAGCACACATTCTACTCATGTAAAAACACGCTGATTCCCAGACCATCTGCGGGCCGGATTTAGAAGGCGATTGGGCTGCATCCGGCCCCTGGGCCTTAGTTGCCTGTCCCTGCCTTAAACACTGCACCACACAAGTTTCTTTATAGTCTGTCAGTATGTCTGTCATGGATCATTCACTGAATGAACTGGGAAAGCAGTTCCATGGTCTTCTATTAAGTAATCGGAATATACACTTTCGTAAATAAAATTGCATATGTAATGGTTGTGATTCTGGGCTAATGAAAGCTTGGAGAGATGGCATGGTGGGAAGTAGGAAGCACAAAAGTTGGAACTTTTGTCTTCAGGATATTTCAGAGGACAGTGGAAGAGGAACTGGGAATGGCTGCCAGACAGTCAAGAGGAATGCTTTCTTGCTCAGAAAAAGCCCAGTCTTGCATAGTTGTTCAAGGTAATGGAAAAGTAGGAGGATTTCTGGGATGGCAGAGTTAAGCTGGAGCACAGGAGGCCATCAGAGACACAGTGAGGTTGCCACATTTAGGCTAGTAGTTGATGACAACCTACCATCAGAATTGGGCAGACTATGATTGCTAAGGCTGTTTGAGAGCCAAGGTGTATATCATCCTTAAAGTGGCCTTTTTATGGTAGTGCTTCCCAACCACCATTTGTTACAGAATGGGCTATTTACTTTTAGGGCAAATAGTAGTCATTGGTTCCTGTCCTACTGTCTGGAGCAGGAGAAACCAAGCTTGCTCCGTCTTCCATGTAGAGAGCCCTTAAAATATTTTAAGATGTTATCATACCTCCTTTCAGTCTCCTCTTTTTCCAGGCTAAACATACCCACTTCCCTCATAAAGCTTGATTTCCAGACCCTTGATCATCTTAGTTGCCCTTCTCTGCGCACGTTCCAGTTTGTCAGCATCGTTCTTAAATTGTAGTGCCTAGAACTGGACAGAGTATTCCTTGTGTGGTCTGACCAAAACAGAACAAAGTGGTACTATTAGTTCCCTTGATCTGGACACTATACTTCTGTTGATGCAGCCTATGATAAACAAATCAATGATAAGCTTCTTGCAATATATCATAATTCTGATGCTCATTCTCTCCTCTCCCTTCACATAATCATGTTAGATAAAGATGTGGAAATGTAAGTATATCATGGACACAAACACATTGAAAATAGCCTTAAGCACACAAAATCTGGCTTGCTCTTAGCACTGAGGAACTGGATAATGTCAAAGTTTTTTGCAGGATGCAGTGCTATGAAAAGCAACAAATCACTAGTCCATTTTATTCCAGTTGGGAAGCAATTCAATGCCAGTTAGATGTGGCTGAAAAAGTCATAGGCAACAATTGAGCTTAAGAAACTGTTTAAAGTATCAACAGGGTATGCATTGTGTCATAAAGGGCTCCAAAGAGTAATTACTAGAGGGGAACTCAATTAGCTGGAACAAACAACTGATGGTTCAATTAAAGAGATTCCTGAAAATCACTACAAAGCCTCTGTCGTGGTTCATGTGTAGTTCACTGGAGGATCATCGCAAATCTTCTTTTTTGCATAAGAAACATTCTTTTTCTCTCTCTCTCTTTTAGCATAAAGTAAACACCATGGTGAATTTACCATTTTCCCTCAACACATTAGGATCCCACAATCAAAAAGCTGAAAGGGGGTCCAGAGGTAATATTTCAACACTCAGGAAAAGCTGCTGTGGATCTGAAACTCAATAATGCATGCCATAACTGGGACTGGGCTTTAAGGAATTCAAACAAAATAAAAACAACTTTTGAATCTAATGAAATGAAGAACTTCTGCTGATGTAGGCTGCATATGGCCTAATGGAGCAGAAACAGAGTACTTAAGAGTTTAAAAGTCCAGGTCAGCATTCAAGTCTAATGAGGCATTTTTCAAGGTGGGCCCTGCTGGATTGTAGGCAAAAGTGAGAACTGGGTATGCAAAAGGGTGGTATTGACTGGAAGACTACTGGTAAAATGGGAGAGGGGCTGCAGTAATCTGGGCTAAAGAAAAAGAGATACTATAAAAGCAAGGGATGTTACACATCACCCTAATCTCTGCTGAGTGGTGCAAGATTCCAGGGGTACCAGGCACACTTACCCAAGTTCTGCATTTCTTTTTGGAAAATGAGACGCAGGCAATTTAAAGACTGTGGCGTCTTTATGATATATGGTTTATTTACACATATATACAACCTGAGCCTACGATGGAGGGGTTCAGAGCATCAACATTCCAAAAGGCTCCAGTGTCTCCCATAGAAACAGCAACATCCTTGCCCTGCAGCTTGCCTTCCTAGGTCACATAATGTCCAGCTTACTCTAACTTTTCTGACCTAAGCTCTGGCCTTTCCTAACACAGGGAGAGACCCCCTTCCTTTGATCCTGGGTTGTGATAATGACTCATTACCTCAAAGGAAATTAGTCTGACTCAATTAACACTTAGCTCATGTTGATTTCCTAGCATTATCCACTAAATTCCTCTAAATTCCCAGTACCCATAAACTCATAACAATATAAAGGACAAGAGGGACACTTGCCTGGTAAAGTGCTTGTTGGGGGAATGACAGAAAAGGATTAGCTGTTTATTAAGCTTTAGAAATTATTTTTTTTCTAATACCCAGCTTCAATCCATTGACTATCTGCACTCATCTTTGAGACCACTGCTACAGCTGCCAAGGAATTTGAACTGATTGTAGACTTAAGCCAGTCCAACTTCTTCATATCCACTGCCCCTGCCTTCTATGCATTCAGTAGGAGGTGAGATCGGGATGCATGCACAGAAAACTACATTTATGTGTAGGTTTGTATTGTACTTGCAATCAGGAATGCTGTTCTCAAGTGTCTTAAACTACCTGGCAGCAAGTCTGTATGTTGAGTCCCCAGTCCAGGGTCAATCCACATGTCCAAACCAAAGAACAGTCCTGGAACATCCAAGCTGCGGTCCCTCAACGTGGACAGTTGAGCAGACACAGTGTCTCAGCTCTGCTTCCCTTTCCTACTTTGCATTCTGATTGCAGCATCTAGGCTTCATGAGGCATGTGACCCTCACCTGCTCCAAGCCTACTCCAGCTGAAGAATCACACCTCTCCTCCCAGAGCTAGCGAGCCCCACCTGGCTAGTTTTGGAGCTTAGCTGTGGGCCCTTACCTGCCTCAGCCTCCTGGAGTGCCCCGTCCACTGCTTCCTGCGCCTCAGAGCGTGTTTGTGGAGATAGGGGCTCCTCTGGCTCTGCTAATTTGGTTCCTGTGCACGGACCCCCATTGCCTTGTCATCCACCATCACCCCGTGTGTACGTCATACACGACCCTCTCCTTCCCCACTCCCAGCTTGCCCTGGTGTTTCCCACTCCTGGCTACACCTCTCACCGAGATCCTCTTCCTCCTCCCTCCTTCCTGTTGTCCTGCCAGTTCATGACATCAAGGTTCTGAATCACAAGCAGTGATCATACATGTCCAGCAGCATGAGATGGAACCTTCTTCATAGTGGCACCACACATGAGCATAGCCAGGATTTATTTTAGAAGGGCAGGCATTATGTTAGGTGGGGCAGAACTGAGTTATCTGTGACACAACTGGTCAGTTAGTTAAGTGGTTTTTATTTATTTACTTAGGAGGGGCAGCTGTCCCCCCAGCACCCCCTTAGCTACACCCATAGTACCAAAACTGCAGGATTCCCCTTCATTTGTAACTTTCTAATGCCAGTTGAAAGCATTCTTATTCATTCAGGCTTTTGGAAATTAGTTGAAAAAGTGGGCCATATCACAGTTTTGTGGCATTATGAAGTTTCCGCTGCTTGTAATGTTTAGAGCAGTGATGGCCAAACTTGGGCCTCCCGCTGTTTTGGGACCACAGTTCCCATAATCCCTGACCACTGGTCCTGTTAGCTAGGGATGATGGGAGTTGTAGTCCCAAAACAGCTGGTTTAGAGGATGGTTTTCTAAGTGTTATTGCTTTGGGTTTTGAGGTATTCTATGAGCTTATGTTTTGTAAACTGCTCCGGGATCTTGATAGATGAAGAGCAGGGTATGAATAAAACTAATAAATAAAATGAGTGCAGCAGTTGTACATAAACTACACTTGTGCAGCATCTCATTCAAATTCATGGATGAAGATCAGTGACCTATCCACGTGTTCCCCCTCCATATGTTCAGTCTGTGTAGGGAGTGAGGGAGCGAATAGGTTTTTTGTGCATGTGGTGTATATAAGAAATCCATTTTTTTATTTAAGTGTTCTTTCCCTACCAGAATTCAGTATTGAGGAGAGGCAGACTGCCGAGAAGGGAGTCCTGCATGTATTATTATTATTATTATTATTATTATTTCTGTTGGGAGCTGCCCAGAGTGGCTGTGGAAACCCAGCTAAATGGGCAGGGTAATAATAATAATAATAATAATAATAATAATAATAATAATAATAATAATGGTCTTGAATGCAGTCTTTTTGCCTTCTATATTCTTTTCCACTATGTTTCCACTCAGCTTCCAAAAGTTGTTCACTCCTGGGTGAAACTGTTGAATGTCCTACCAAGGGCAACAGTTAAGTGACAATTCGGATGGTGGTTCTTCTGATGCAAACATCTGTCCGCTTGGAACAAGGCTGTGAGAATATTCTGTTCTATCTTTGTTAAATATTTGATGGCCTTGGGGTGTTTGTTTTGTTTTTTCTTTTGATGTGGGGAGGGTGGGTTGTAGGATCTTAGAGCAACTGCTTCTTAGGAAGATAAGAAATATTAACAGAGGCTCTTCGAGAAATGTCCAAAGTTTTCTCACAAATATGACATGAACATAATGGAGGAAAAGTCATAGTGGGGCACTGTTAAACACAAACACATTAGCTTCTTTAAAGCAGGATCCAAAAAATTTGCATAGTGTTCATGGAGCCCTAAACAGAATATTTGAATCTGAATGAAAGTCTGGCACTTTCCTGGGTATCAAAGCATGTTGGATGCCTGTAATTACCTTTATAGGCAGGGTTGTGCCAAACCATCTGGGTATGTCAAAATCAGCAGGGCTGCAATGGCATCATACTGGCTGGCAGGTTTACTACAATTCCAGGTGCTGATTGTAGTAGGTTCAGTTAAGTCTGGGAGTCGGTGGGAAGGAAGAAACTAGTGACTAGCTCAGGCAAGGTTAATACAGCCAACTGAGCTTTGTAAGGAGAAACAACAAAGAAATAATAATTAGAACTCTGCCTAAGTTAACAAACTTCAAGTAGAAGTAAATCATAGACCCAGTTTCATTCTCATACATTTCCATTGATCACTGGTCTCATAGCTTTTCTTTGTATATCGGTGCAGTGGAAAGAGGGTAATATTTGCAGCTCAAACCATGGGCTGTGTCTTGGTCTGTAGACAGATTACAGAGGAGGGTGGTGTCAAACTAAATGACTGTTTCATGGCTTCTTTGGTTTTAATGACACCTACTTCTGTGGGGGCAACCTCTGCTTCTCATTGACCTAAAATGCCCACTACTTGTCTGAAAATAAACTGCCAATGTATCTTAAGCCTGTACGCAGCTTCCTTCCTATTTCAAGTGAGAGCAGAGCACAAGTTTGGATCATAATACAGAGGGTGATTAGAGGGTGTCTCCTGCCATTGTGGCACCGGGTGGGTGGAAATAACATTCTGTTCTTGGCAGACTTTGTGCTGCCTTGGTGACTCTGCTCATGAAGGGATTTTGAAATAGTATTGGCAGTCAGCTCTCTCTCTATTAAAAAAAACCCCTATGCTGATGCAAACAAAGCAGCAAATCACAGAAGTTGAGTGGGAGAAAAGCGCCAAGCAAGAACCACTGCGGAGGGGTACAGAGCCTGTGCTATCAGGGGCTCAGACTCTGTCCTCAACCTCGGCCCTCCGGATGTTGTGGCCTACAACTCCCATGATCCCTAGCTAGCAGGACCAGTGGTCAGGGATGTTGGGAATTGTAGTCTCAAAACAGCTGGAGGGCCGAGGTTGAGGAAGCCTGCTCTGAACTTTCAAGATTTTAAAAAGAGGGTCTCAAGCCCTTGTAGAACAAAAATTGAGAAGCAAAATGCGCAGGCATCGTTCAAAGCAGCTGCTTTCTGAAATGGAAGCATGTTCTTGCCTTTTAGTGTTTTTAGCCAATGAGTGATGTTAAAGCTGCGACTGACATGTCCATGCCCCAAGGGAGATTCACATTTTTCCAGACAGAGAAGTGAGTCTTGCCCAGGGAAAATAGAGAAAATTACAATTTTAGTGTAGCTGTGGCTTGGCAGTCCACCCAAAAGCAAAATGTAGTAGCAGTAGTAAATAATAATAATAATAATAATTTATTATTTGTAGCCCACCCATCTGGCAGGGTTTCCCCAGCTACTCTGGGCAGCCCACAACAGACTATTAAAAACATGATAATACATCAAACATTAAAAACTTCCCTAAACAGGGCTGCCTTCAGATGTTTTCTAAAAGTCAGGTAGTTATTTCCTTGACATCTCATGGGAGGGCATTTCACAGGGTGGGCGCCACTACCGAGAAGGCCCTGTGCCTGGATATGACCTTATTGATGCCCAAAAATGCAGGTTAGAGACAGGAAAATCATGTTGCCAACTAAAATATAGTAGTTTACAAAGCTCTGTTGTAAGGCCCCCTATCATAAGCAACATCATACTACCTTAAGCAGTCATGGCTTTCCCCAAATAATCCTGGGAACTGTAGTCTGGTAAAGGTGCTGAGAAATGCCAGGATACCCCTATTTCCCTTACAGAGATATAATTCTCAGAGATTCCTGGGAAGAGGGATTGACTGTAAAAGCACTCTGAGAACTGTATCTGTGTGAAGGCTCCAGCCAAAAACTAACAGCTTCATGATCATGGAATCTAAGTAACACATTTTTTTTCTATAGCTTTTCCATTTATGATAATCTATTTTACTTATGACGTATACATTATGTTTGCAAGGATCTGTTTTCAAAACAAAACAGAAATAGAAGATTTTCTGTCCTTGAGACTGAAAAATAGACCATTATAGAAAGCTGGTTTTGATCTGTTTCCTGTGGTTGAACAAATGGCTTTCAGGGTGCCACCCTGTGGTTAAAATACAAAGTCTTTCAAAGTCAGCAGTGTGTGAGGCAATTGTATGACTGATTGGCTTGGAATTTGCAGCTTACTTTGTGCAGCTCAGTTCTAAATATTTAAGTGTATTGAACTATAGCTAAGAAGGATGTTCCTTCTCAGGCAATCTGAGAGTATCAGCATCCTTCAGCATTGCCAGTCTAGGCTGACATTGTGTAATCCTGATCTACAGCAGTATTTATTTTGTACCTTCCTTGCAAATAGTAGTTATAAGGGGCAGTAAATCAATAAATTATGAAACACATTAGGGTGAAAGTACTCCTTTAAACTGGTGAGATTGTGTTTGTCTATCTGGTATAGAGGTTCCTTTGTTCCAGAGTAGGAAAGACGACTGCCTTGAGAAGCATATTCTCTTCATAGAATCACAGAATTGTAGAGTTGAAAGGAACCATGAGGGTCATCTAGTCCAACCCCCTGCAATACAGGAATCTCAACTAAAGCATTCATTACAGATGATCATCAACCTCGGCTTAAAAAGCTCAAATGAAACAGAGTTCACATAGAGTCTTCAAAACATAGGGTCACAAAACTGAGACTGGTGTGCACTGTTGCACACCCAAAGGCTTTTACTGGTGCGCCTGAGAAGGTATTCCAGATGCTGGGATTTCATGTATAATAAAAATAACCCTCCCAGAAAGAAAGCTATAGGCTAACAAGTGCAGGTGTCTTCTAAGCAAGAGAAATGAGAGCTAGTGTGGTGTGGTCACCATGTACAGTATGTTGGTACTGAGAAATGCTCCCTGTTGTTGCTATTAGACCACAATTGCATCTCTCTCTCTCTCTCTCTCTCTCTCTCTCTCTCTCTGTGTGTGTGTGTGTGATATCAATATTGTGTGATCTTCACATTCAGAGCACAAATAAATGACTTCCCATGGAAAGCATAAAGTCATTGGGGGTGGCTAACTCTCAAATGAGAACTATTTTGTGAATGGCACCCACAGTGCTCTCAAATGGCACCCACAGTGCTCTCAGAAAGGTTGGCAACCCCTGGTGTATGGAACTAGAAAAGAAGGTTAGAAGGGAATGGGAAGTGTAAGAAGGAGATAGGGGGGATGGAAGAATCAGTCTTTCTGAACTGTTCCCACATTAGCCAACAATTTTTAAACATTGACAGGGAAATTTGTGTTAAAATATGTATAAAGCATATTTCTCCCAAGGTATGCACTTGAAATCGTAGTTTCATACTTTTTCTGGAAGGCCATGGGATCCCTCCCTACTAGTCTGGGAGGTACGGATCAAGATGTGCAATTTCTCAAGCATACCTAGGTGTCATAACATTGTTATTTGGATCACTTCTTATTAGTTTCACTGCTTTCTGGAGAAGGAACTGCATTCCCTCACTGTAATGGTTTGACTGCAGTTCAGAACACTTTCCTCTCTGTATACAAAATCAAGGGATTCCAGCTGTGAGTTAATTGGTCTTGACTTATTAGCAATAGCAACTATGTGGAACTGCATGGAAACAGGCGGCAGGGTTTTAGGCAGAAATGTTGGTTTTATTGGAGTTGTTTGCTTCAAGGCTTTTAAGACAACAGAGACTCTAGATTTCACTGTTTGTTGTTATTGCTATGCTCCCACAAATTTTATTCCGATGCCAGTGCCACCTATTCCAACTCCATGTACTGCAGTGGAAGTGCCTTTGCTAAGGTGGAGATGGTTATCTGCTGTTGAGCATCTATTCAGTCTGACACTAGAGGGGGCAATGGTGCACGGCCTTCAGAAGAAATGGGATTTTTTTTAATTTATTGCAAACACTAAACATGTATTTCTGGGGGGCATGATTTGTAAACACATTGGCATCCACAGTCCAGGGCTGGTTGGGTACAGAGGGGGAAAATAATCCACCAAATGAAAGTAATAAGAGGACAAGAGAAAGATGTGAACTTCTTTCCTTGCTTAGAAAGCATTTATATTTATTTTTGTAAATTCAATGCAGGCCCTGCATCACTTAACAGCAGACTTTGGAATAAAAAAACTAATCACAGCCCTGTGCATGAATGATAAGGTGATATTCATTCACCACATGTGGTGAACTGATGAACCATCATTCATTCATTCATTCAATCAATCATTGTGTATTCACCTGGAAGAATACTGGGAAAGAGAAATAATTAGTGTTGCCTTATAACAAAAGGAAAAACAATTGGACTGCAATTTTATATGTTGGTTTGTTAGTGTTATATGTTAATCTAAAATGTTATAAAATATGAAATAGGATCATTTTAAAGATCTTTTTTACTCAGTTAAACACGGTTCATTTTGATTCATCAATATTTTTAGCAAAATGGTGGAAAAAATGTTTCCTCTTTAAATAATTATTTTCCTCTTGCAATCTATTTCTCTGCCTTGCTTAGTTTTTCTCCACCCACCACTCTTTTTCCTTTTCTCGCCCCTTTCCTCAAAAGCCTTCACTAGTTAAACCCTTTTGTTATACTTCCTAAATAAAAGTTTCATTTTCTGGAAACAGTTCTGATTTAATCTCTACTGCTCTTTATGTGGACGCTCTGCTGCCTTCACTAAACGATTCAAAGTTACACGGTCAGCTCCTTGCACTGTGCTAAAAATGTGCTAGTCTTGGCCAGCTTCACTGCACATGCAGCAGCAACCTGCCATCTGCAATAGAGTTATGTTCATACTGGAAAATCATTTCTCTAGTGTGCAACATTTGAGCTTAAATTCCCCCCAGTCACTGTTTTCCAAGAAGGGCTTACTCAATGAATAGCAGAAGGAGTCTGCAGACAGGTTAAGAAAGGAGCTGTATACAAGGGATCTCTTAAATTCTCTACCCTATTTGTGGGTCAAGAAGAGGAGATTTCTTGAACAGTTTCTCATAAGTGGTTCTCATCATTAGGAGTGGTAGAAACACAGCTGCTTCTGCTTCTGCTGCTTTGTCCCCCCTCCCCAAACTGCTGTTGTTTTTCATCATCCACAATGCCCCAAAATTAATATAATTACAGGGCATGGTGGTGTGGGTAGTGGTGAATTACAGCTGCCACATACACCCCCCCCCAAAAAATGTGGGGAATAATTAAGGGAAATCATGCAAAGTGATTTCTCTCTCTCTCTCTAATTGGGTGAAAAAAATTAAAGCACTCTGAATATTGACTTCTGAGAAATTTAGGCTCAGCTCCAGTTTAGAGACACATGCCCTGAGCAAGCATACAAACAGATCTCCAACTACCCCATGTCTCGCCTCCTCTTTCACAATCTGAAGTTTACTGTGTAGCCCTGCCTCAACCACTCCTCCTCCTTCTCCCTTCATTTGTGGAATGTGGTTGGTAGTTAATCATTTAATTGCTGTTTTGTTATGCTATTCCCCCAGGAAAACATTCTGCAGACATGTTTGCAAACTCATTTCCAGAGCAACTGTGGTAACAAATTGCGGACAGAAAAATACACACTTTTACAGACTTTTTATAAACCGATTTTAAGATTGTACCTCCAGGAGCTCATTTTATTTGAGAGGTGCAGTGTTAATTACGTTTCCAAAGCAAGGACAGTGATTGAAGCAGGCTTGTTAAAAGGTGTTTGAAGTGATTGAAGCAGGTGTGTTAAAAATATAGTCACAGTGTGCCATCCCACTGTGTTTAATAGGACGCACAGATGAACCAGCAGAATAAATCAGTGAAACAAAGGCGGCAGGTGGGATTTCACAAAGCTATTTCTCCTCAAATTACTTGGTCAATTTCACAAACTTTTGGCGGAATCAATGTATCTTGCTGGTTCTAATATGAATACATTTTAAACAACAAAGTCTTTATTGATTTGACATATTACAATACAATTTAAAAATAGAAATAAAGACGGAAAATATTTACTCCCATACCCTCTCCAAAAGAGGAAGTCTGCATCCAAATCTAATGTCTCTCTCTAGTGAAGTGCAGTTCAAGTATCCAAGTTCTAGAAGTCTACAATTCTGATTCTGTGATTTTGCCCATGACCCAACGAGATCCACTGGTGACCAAATTCGTAACCCTTTCTATCTGCAGTTATCCCTCCTGATTAGTTTTCACAAGACTAGGTCTATGACAGCAGCAGCTTTTCAATTAATCCAGCTTGGATGTGATTCCGTAGACCAGGGATAGCTGAGCTGGTGCCCTCTAGAATATAGTTGGACTAAAACTTCCATCAATCCCAGCCAGCATAGCCAGTCATCAGGAATTATGGGTGTTGTAATCCAACCTCATCTGGAAGGCACCATATTGGCTACCCCAATGTAAATAGTATAGAGGCTTACCAGAATTTGATCTGAATTTTGCAACTCTTATATAGCACTAAGCAGTCAAATTGGTGGGTATGTATCAAGTTAATTTCTGCTGGATATCTGTGCAGTAAATGTAACATCTGTTTCATACTATAAATGGTGCTGAAATAACCAGATGGTGCTGGTGTCTTCTTGCATATTATTCAGCAAACCTAAGATTATGTTTATTGGCTTAATCGTAAACCCCAGAAACCCTAGTGAAATTACATTACTATTGTGTGAAAATGTTGTGTAGTGAGAGAGGGAGGGAGGAAAGCAAAGATACAAGAAGCATGCATGAAGTATCCTATAACAATAACATCCCAATGCTAACTTACACTGTAAAAGGACAAAATCTTTTAAAGGTAACTTACACTTTTTAAAAGTAGTTGTTAAACTGCAGAATAGAAACAATTGCCCATGTCTCTTGTTTCATGTTATTACTACTAGTTCTGATATGTTTTTGAAACCACAAATTCCTCCTTTTATTGCTTGCTATAAATATTATTTGTATATATAGATAGATTAACTAACTTCAAATGGCTGCAGATTACTATCATGGATAATTCAAAACATCATTTGATCCTGAGAATGATCGCTCAATTTATCTGCAGAAGTCTTGTTCCACAACTCATGTCATACAGAGAACATGGTATTTGCGCCTGCTAAAACCCACTTCCGGAAGTGAGTTAGTCTCTGCACAACCACAAACTTGGGTCGCTGCTCACTCCACTAACTAGTAAATCTGATGTGAAGACCTTTCAGTTACATCTACAGTGGACACCCTCAATCTCAGAAATGAAGAATGTCAGGGACGTGTTCAGAAAGATGTCTTAGAAACAGAATGCCTTGGAAACATGTGTTTCCAAGTGCTTTATGTTCACAAAGAAGCTTCTTCTTAGATATGTCACAATACAAAGAAACACAAAGCCCAGTGATACCTTTCTATTTTATCAGGCATGAGCATTTTGTCAAAACGGAGATATATCACTAAGGAAAAAACACAGAGGCTTCCAAAGTGGCTTCTTCCTTGAAACAAGTCAAATCCAGAATTAAGCCACGTGAGCTCCTTAGAGGTACCCAAAAACAATTTATTCTCATAGCACAAGTGTGGTTCCTTCTAGAGATCTGCTCCCTAAGCCTGAAATTCCATGGGAATATATATGTGTGTGGTGTGACTTCTCTTCCTTCAAATCCTTACTTTAAAAGCCACTGACTGTGAGGTCAGTGGCTTCGTATCTCCAACAAAATGTACGTGTACAAAGTGGAAACCAAACATATTCATGGAACTGCTTCTTACATCACCCCTCGGAGGCACTTTCTAATCCCTTCCTATGTCAGAGGGCAGCTGAAGGTCTTTCCTTGGACGCAAGAGTCCCTGATCATCATGGGGGGCAAGGAGTAAAGCAGATCCAGATCCCCCTCCTCCAGAGTCCCACACAGCCCTTTGCCTCCCAACCTGAGGAGACTGTGTAAAAGTTGCTGGTGTCCCTTTCCAATATTTTGAACTGAGAACCATCAACATATTGACCTCTTTATCTTCCCCTCTAGGTGATATATGACACCAGGAATGGGTAGCTTGGGATGCTGCCTTATACTGAATCAGGCCATTGTTTGATCATTCTGAGTCAACATCATCTTCCCGACTGCTGGTGATTCTCCAAGGTTTCAAACTGGGTTGTCTCCTAGTCCTGCCTGGAGATGCCAGGGATTGAACTTGTGACCTTCTGTATGCAAAGCAGATGCACTACCACAGAGCCATGGCCCTTCCCCTATGGAGGGAGTGGGCTTTTTACTGGTTTCCCTTTCCTGCTTTTAGCCCCCTTGTTTCCTTGTTTACTTCAAGCACTGGGGACCTCAGATGCACCACATATATATATATTTGTATATATGAGGAAATGCAGCTCCATTAACAAACATTAATCCCTTCTTATTTTCTCTCAGCCACTGCAGCTGCTGCAGGCTGTAAGCTTCTCAAGACAGACACTCTCCTTTTTCTCTTGCTATTTTCCTCTGAAAAGCAGTAGGTTCGCAGCTCTACATAAGTTGTTGATGATGATTCTCCAGAGAGAAGCTGCAAAACCTCTTTAGAAGCAGTGCCTACCAGGCTGGCCATTTCTTTTGCCAGTTTTTCTAAGGCAACCCCATACCTCAGTACAAGCCCCGTATCACTCAACAGAGCTTCCGATTAGATGGAGGTAGGATTGCGATGCAAGTATCTTCTGCGGTTTGTCCCACTCGCCACCACCCAGTCATTGGGCCTAGCTGTGCCTCTCAGACTCTCCCCACGTTCCCAGCTATATGACAGAATACTTTAATTTATCCTCTGCTGACAGGCTTTGCCTCACAATCTGTGTGTAATTCATATGGTACCTTGCCTGCTGTCTCCTATTATTTCATTCTGCAATGCTTTTTGGGATACAAATCTCTCTGTGCCGCATTGTATTGTATCGACGGAGTGCATCTTTAATAAAGTTGTTCTCAAATAACATTCCAATAAGTGGAATGTACCTGTTGAGAGATGTGATGCTGCATATCAATGTGGAAAGTGGCAGAGGGACAGAAAGTGTGTGAAAGAGGGAGGAGGAGGAGGTGGTGGTGGTGGTGAAATTGCTATCTTGGTTTGTGTTTACCCATAGCCTCCCCTCCAAAACCGTTCAATGTTTTTTTCCCTTTTTGCATTTGAAAATTCTCCCTCTCCCCCCCTCCACCTTCTCTCTGTTTTTGATCTTTCTTAGGTGGAATTGTCAACTGTAATTATTTACAACACTTCTCCAGGAAGGTACTAAGACTAATTCTGTAAGAATCTGTCAAACGAGTAACAAGTAGCGAACAAGAAAAGCCCGGAAGAATTTTGTCTGGCTTGAGTGAGATTTATCATCCGATATGTGCGCCGCATCAAAATTCAAATGGGGGGAAATGAGGAAAAGCAAAATCTAAGAGAGTTTTAGAAACACACACTTACACACAAAGTTGAGCACTACTCAGAAGGCTGATTCAGGTATTGCTGGCTTCAGGCTCCTCTCCCTTCATCTGGAGGAAGCTGTGGACATAAGGTTCCTTCAGGTATTCCATGACTGCATGGAGATGGAGGAGTGAAGCCCGCCACCACCTACTTGCTGTACATCCTTATGAGAGGAAGATGTCTAATGTTATTTTGAAAACATTGGCTGGGATCCTAAGTTACTGTTCCATTTGCATAAGGAGGAGAGTTGGGACCACTGCACCATATCTCAGGTGAATCCCCAAAGTCTTCCACCACCACCACCAGAAGTTTTTGGGGAGAGATGTAGCGTTCTGTAAAAAGTAAAGATGCAAGAAATCCCGTTTAATAATAATAATAATAATACAAATTTTTCTCTATTCACAGAAGGAAACCTGAGCCCCAAGCCAATAGCCCCATTTAGAAGTTGTTTTCTACCCATTCCTGGAGCAGATGGAGGAGGGAATGAGGCTGTGCATGCCAGAGCCAGCGCAGAACATCGCCTCTAGGCTTCATCTCCAGATCTTTGTGAATTCAGCTGATTCTAGGTTCTTCCTCTGTGCAATTATCAGTACTGTGTGACTGAGGGTTCCAATCTCATGGAGCAACCTAGTTAGAGTCAGCTGAATGTGCACAGGTCTAAACCTTTATACCTTCCATTGTGTGTGTGTGGGGGGGAGATGGTGGTATGGAAACACTGGGGGTATATGGGTCACCATATATAGTTCTCCTTCACCAGCATACCCCTCCCTCTCCTAGAACACATGGTAACTTCTGAATAAATCTAATGTCTCAAGTTTTACGCTTTGCACATACTGAGGTGGTAGTGTGTGATGAGAGAATTCTGATGTACAGCAGCTCAGACCGCAGAGCGGGGTTTCATTGCTGCTGTCCCCATGTTTCTCCACATCAAACACTCTCGGTGTGATGTCAAGTGGTTAAGCGGGAAGGGGGCTTTGCAAAACCTTTATTTCCTTTTCTACAACAGTGGGGTTATTTATTTATTTAATTATTATTTTATTTTGCATGAGGGAACAATAAAAATATAAGCCTTGCTGGCAGTACACAGGTCAGGAAAATACCACCACAACATTTTGCCTCATTCTGCAAAGCATGTAAATTGCTTCTTGGTGACTGCCAATCCCACACTTCTATAGCTCTCATCTCAGGGAAATTAATGTATTTGCCTCAACCTGAGCTTCTTTTGTTGCAATGTGAGCTGACAACTCGTATATAGTGGGGGCAGGAAGAGGAATACTCGTGAGGTTTTATGATTTACAATGGTTACTGCCTTTATTAACATTGATTTGATTGTTTTCTGAGGCTTGTTACCTGCTCAGAACCTCTAGGTTATTGGGGGGGGTGGGGGGGGATGAGTGAACTGACTGTCCTAACTTGCAACTGGAGGATGTGAAACAACACAATTAAAGCAGCACATATAATATCTTTGTTTTCTCATGTCTGGAGTAGGTGCAATGAAATGGCATATTTGCGTCTCTCTGTGCATGAGAAGTCAGTCTGGATTTCCTCATGACTAGCGCTGTCTAGGCTTTTTAATCCACAAGATTGCATCAAGGGCTGCTGTGAAATGACATTTTGCTTTTGCTTTGCTTTGTTGCTTTTGGTCACTGGAGACATTTTGCATAATCTTGTCCGGCCGTTGCCTGTCAGATACCTTTGGGTTTCTCTCACCGTTTGCCTCCCCTGCCTCTGTGATGTTGCTCAAGGTGTTTTGGATCCCTTTCAGATTGTTTAACGCTGCACCTTGGTGATAAAGCCTTTGGAAGTAAAGCACAGCGGATAACACTGGGAGACACAGCAGAGATAATCGTATCTTCTGCTAACGCTGATGATTTGGAAGGAAAAGCAGGGAGGGAGTTTAACTTCTAGCCCCAATAAAATATTCAGCCCAGCTGCCTGTATTACCTGCAAGTCACTTTTATTTTATTTTTATTTTGTATGGGGAAGTAGAAAAGAAGAGGAGTGATTAATATGAAGCTTCTTGGGGGATTAGAATGATCCACTATTGGCAACAACAATTTCCAACATGCGGCATAAAATTAGAGCCAGCAGAGAGTTCTGTCACCCACTATTAAATCACTTTGACTGATTAAAGCCTACCTTGCTTTTCTCACATTTATATTAAATGGAAAGCAGTCCTTTGCAAAGGAAGTGATAATTGCATGGTCAGGTTTCAAGGGAAGCATCCATCCTGCTCAGTTGCTACTCCTACCTTTTTATTCTTATTGTCTACTAGGTATGTAAGAAGATGTTGTTTCCCATCCTTCCCTGGATTCATCACATGCAGCCCTGTTGCTGTTCTGCTGCGGTTCGTCTTCTGCCAGAAGCTACGTACATCACTTGCTGTGGCAGAATTGTCATTTATATAATTCCCATTCTTTCCAACACACAGTTATGAATCATTTGCGAACGGAAAGCATTGATTTCCATTCCAGTTAGGGGGTGAATAAGTAAACACCAGCAATTTCCACTTCTGTTTCATTTTTCATATTAATCTGCAATTGTTTTAATGTAAAAAAATGCATTTAACTGTGCATTTAAATATATATTTCTAAGTGCACCATCTCTCAAATACACTTTTTTTTAAAAAAAAATGAAAGTTAATGGGTTTTTGTTTTTGTTTGCTTAAAGCTGTATTCAAGAAATGCAAAATCCAGTGAATAACTAAATTCCAGTCTGCACATTTTAATGTATTTTTAACCTTCTGTTGGAACCCACCCAGAGTGGCTGGGGAAACCCAGCCAGATGGGTGGGGTAATTATTATTATTATTATTATTATTATTATTTATTAGGCTCCAAGTTGTATGGAATATGCACAATTCATGTGAAAAGTCACAAAGGCTGAATTCCTCAACCAGCCTTCAGAGCAGATGGCTGCTTTGTGTTTGTGTCCATCCATCCCTCTTTGCACCATGGCCTACGTCAAGATATTGTGTAAATAAAAATATGGGTATAGGAAACCTTTTCAAAGGTATTCTACATGGGATGCTCCCTAACCAAGCGAGGCACAATCAAGAACCTTTTTGATTTAGCTCTGTGGGGATTAGGAATGGCATACAGAAAGTGGAACCCAGATCCCTCGGATCCCCATGAGAGCATTCCTAGTACAAACAGGTTACAAAACTGATGGATCTCTGGTAAGTCAGAATCTGAGCTGCTCAAACTGGGGGGGAAGCCATTTTGTTCAGACAGCCAGTGCCAGTACAAATATGTTTTCATAATGATGTTAAATTATTTGCCTTGGCATACATGTCTAGAGCATAAGGCCTCTGCAATGCCAACATTAATTGGCCAAACTCTATGTAAGGACTGTGTTTATCGTAGCTATAGCTCCAAATGTTTGTTATTGGAATTCTCTCTACTGGGATAAAATTCCAGTGTACTTCCAATCCAGTCCAATTCAGTTAGAAGCCAGGCGCCTGCCAGATTGTGATGGATCACAGCAGTGGTATTCCTACAAGGACAGCCATTATTATAGGTTTAGGAGGGGAATCATTTAATCTCCCTTAGTGTCTGTGGGAAATTGGTCTGAAAATTGCCAGCAGAGGATCGGTGCCATTGGCTAAGAAACCTGGCAGATTACAGATTATCAGGTCAAGGTGCATTTATCCTAGGTATCTTGAAAGTTGATTTTGGGGTGGGGTGGATTAACAGATTTGCTTTCCAGGTAAAATCAACTCCTCTGATTTCCTGCTAGACCTGTCAGTCGCAACAGGGGTCTCCCTCAGCAACCTTCCTCCACTCTTGTGCTTGTTCCACCTTCTCCAATCACATGCCTTCCAACATTTCTCCAGTGAAAATAGAGATGTCCCATTCCATAATGATAATTTTACTATTTATACCCCACACATCTTACTGGGTTGCCCCAACCACTCTGGGAAGCTCCCAACATACATAAAAACATCATAAAACATTAAAAAAAACCCTTCCCTATACAGGATTGCTTTCAGACGGCTCGAGAGTCAGATAACTCCATACCCTCCAACATTTCTCCTATGAAAATAGGGATATCCTAAGGAAAATTAGGACATTTCAGGGTCAAATCAGAAACTGGGATGGCTTCTCTAAATCAGGGACATCCCTGGAAAATAGGGACACTTGGAGGGTCTTCCATCATGCCACCCTGGTGTTATGGTAAGGTTGAAGACATGACATTTACCATCAGCAGATGCCAGTCTGCAGCCTTTTTTGATGTTTGGATCACTGGGATGGGGTGCCTACTTTGGCAGTGTTTGTTACCTCATATAGATCCTGCTTTGCCTCTAAGAAGCCTTAAATATCTCCAAGAAGTCCGCTTATCTTTTTGGTGGATGGCGTTGCTGCCGGGCCCCGGGCCCCACAGTGATCCAGCTGGAGGCAAAGATCGGCATCCACCTTGTCGCTGTCCGGCCATGTCGGGATAGGAAATTCACCTGAATCCAATGCACAGCCTTTAACAAGGGGCCTGGTTTTAAGTAAGAGAATTTGGCTTAATTGGTCTTTGGATCAGGCTCCTCATCACACACACTGTATTGGTACAAACAAGCATTCATCCTAGGAAACAATGACAGAAAAAAATAGAATTATTTTCTCTGATCCTTGGATAAATTAAAAATTCCCAGTTTTAACTATATGTCGTGGAAGACTTCGAGTTCATGCCAGTCAGAAGCTAGACAAGAACGTTCTTCAACAGGAACAGAACATTAATAGGAAACTCATGACTCAACTCATATACAACCAAGTCCAGTGCTGCCTAGCAGTTAAATAATATAAGGATACTATTCACATACTAGTGGATGGATTATCACTAGTTACTGTGAACTATTAATACCCAGAAAAATGGAAGGGTTTGAAAGTGGAATAAAAAGGATGGTTTGTTCAGGTTCAGTTATATCATCCTTAAATGAAATGGGAGGGTTATAGATCTGCCTGAAAAGAAGGCTGATGACATCCTACCCTGCTTTGAGCATTCTCTATGAAACATTTGTTATTGTTGTTATTTGTTTTGCTGGTGGTAGACGTTGTTACCTGTGAGGCACCGTTTGACAGATGGTGAACTGAGGTCCAACTGCTCTGGTATAACTTCCTCTAACCTCCTTGTCAAATTCATGAAAACTCTTCAAAGACTTTTGACTGCAAACTTGGACATTTTTATTTCTTGTCACTCTCTTGCAATATGCAAGCCAATGTCCATAGTTGTTTCTATTTTTCTTATTAGGAGAAGTTATCTATTTATATCTAACTGGTCAAGTCTTCTTCCTTCTTTATAGTCATTTTGGAGCTTCATTTGGTTTTGAAAACAGCAGCTCTCCACTTCACAGAAACACAGCTCTATTAGTGATTTCCTCCCATTTTAAATCCCCAGTGCTAGACTCCTTTTAAATTTAATATTGATTTTAAGAAGGAAAAGTGAGTCTCTGATACTCAGAGCTTAAAAAAAAATTTGCAGCATTGACTGTAATAAACTAAGAGGTTGCCAGGTCTGCACAAGAGTGAAACTGGAATATGTAGAAAGTTTATTCCCTGAAAGACTTCCTTCATAAGGCTTTTAGGATCAGGGGGTAAAGACATATTAAATTCAAATAGCAAGCAATAACAAAGATGGCTCTTCGCTTGACTCCTCTACCCTAAGTTCTTTCTACGAACATCAGTGCCCCTCTCAACATCCTCTCGACTTCCTCAACATATTTTTTTCATAAAATGTGTATCCTGCTTTTGCTAAATGGAGGCTCAAAGCAATCTAATATAAAACAAGAATATAATATATAATATAATATATAGAATATAATATAAAACAGGTAATAATCAGAAGTAGTAGTGGGGAGCAACGGTACTCCAAACTGATTGCCCTCAGTGCCCCAGCTCAGTATTTGGGGCACAGCAGAAAATTTAAGGTGACTCAAAGCTGTATGAGAGAAAAGGGTGATGGACAGTGGATGAGGCCAATAACATCAGTGGCTTGGGGGACAGGACTGGTGGGTATGATTCCATGCATGGAAGGTTCTTCTGAAGAGGGCTAAACCACTATACAGATACAGAAATAATAATAATAATAATAATAATAATAATAATAATAATAATAATAATTACTCTGGGCAGCTTCCAAAAAAAATATTAAAATACCATAATACATCAAACATTAAAAGCTTCCCTAAAGAGGGCTGCCTTCAGATGTCTTCTAAAAGTCTAGTAGTTGTTGTTCTCTTTGACATCTGGTGGGAGGGCGTTCCACAGGGAGGGTGCCACTACCGAGAAGGCTCTCTGCCTGGTTCCCTGTAACTTGGCTTCTCGCAGTGAGGGAACCACCAGAAGGCCCTCGGTGTTGGACCTCAGTGTCCGGGTAGAACGATGGGGGTGGAGACGCTCCTTCAGATATACTGGACCGAGGCCGTTTAGGGCTTTAAAGGTCAGCACCAACACTTTGAATTGTGCTCGGAAACGTACTGGGAGCCAATGTAGAAATGGAATGTAGAATTCCATGTAGAATTCCAATGTAGAAATGGAAAATATCTTTATTTACACCCTATTTACATCCCATTCTCAGGTTCAGATTTCAGTCTATTAACAGTGAGAACCTATACATGTCTACTCATAAATAAGTCCCACAAGTTTGGTGGGCTGGGATGTATTCTTTGGTATGTGTGTACAGGATTACACTCTTAAAATTCTTGCCTGTCCATTTTCCCGAGCATCCAAGTGCCATCACCTCCTTGTCCTTTTGTCCATACCTCCTGATAACTTTCTAGGATCCCAAAGGATAATTCTAACATGAATGGAAGGACCAGCAGTGGATTAGAATTTGCAATTTGGCAAAGGTACACCTTGAGAATGGATGTGTTGGAGGAAAACAATGACACCAAGAAGGAAGTTGCTGGTCACTGGAATTTTAGCTTGCACTTGCTCCTATACATTGTCTAAAAAGTACAGTTTAGCTTTGACTTGTTCTTCTGTCACAGTGGAAAATGTACAGTTGCCTCACCAGGTACCCAGAGGTGGGGACAGGAGAATACCTTGCTCTATCAATTTGGATAGCAGGCTCAGTACTTTGCCAGGTGTGAATCCATGGAACGTGGTGGGCTACACATGTATAAATAAAGTTACTATATATAAATAGTTCTTTTCCTGATTTTTGCAAGAAACTTTTATCCCTTTCCCACTGGAAACTAATGTATTTCAATTTATATGATACCTTGTTTTTATTTTTCTCAGTCTGCAACTTCCATTCACTCACATTCTTTCTTTTTTAGAAATCAGCTTTAATGTTATTCCTTCATTGCTTGTTTGCATCACTAACATCACTAGCTAATGCAAACAAGCAGTTACACCAGATAATTGCTCAGCTATATCCATGCCAACTGGGTTTCTCTTTTTAGCTTTTTAGCTTTCATTATGAACTTAATTAACATAAAATATGTACTGTAGCAAAATGCAAAACAAAATGAGGCAGATGTTCATCCTTACACTTCAACAAGCACACAAGTATTACATACAACTTTAAGGCTATAGCTGATGTTGCCTCACACCAGGACAGGCCCATTAATATCAGTTGTGGCCTAACAGAATAATGGCTCACTGATTCTTTCCCTTAAGTTTCAATCTGACCACACCATATGATGTTGCATCCAATAGATTATGTTTATAAACCAATTATAAACCAATCAACCTATGTTTAAATCTATTTTACAACTAGTGCTTACATGGGTGGGGTGAGGTAATTAACCCGCCCCCTTAGCAATTTGCTGTGTTTTCTAACTGGAAATTCCTCCCAATATTTAACCTAAAGTATGTCCTCTGACAATATAAAAACTTTATTGCATTGTCTCATTCTAGCCTGCTTTCTGCAACTGTTTCCTCACTCTCTGCCTCTTAAGAACTCTCATTTTTCTCTCTTCCAGAGATGCCCCATTACTCGATCTTTTGAGCTGCCTGGTCTTCTTTGAACATGGAGGAGATCTCTAACCTCAGTTCCACTTGGCTGACTCAGTCCATAGCTGAACAGGGGGAAATAAAGGAAACACCTATAGAGCCCTAGGTTGAGTGTGTGTTCTCACTCTCTTTGTTAATATTTCTACTGAGGAGTTTGGAAGACTATCTACTGAAAGCACCTCAGAATGGAAGATTCCTTTGTTACATCAAAACCACACTGTTAGCGCATATGTAATTTGCAGTCCATTGGAAACCTCTGACCCCTCACACAGAATTAAACTATTTCATTCTAGTTTGCCTCAATTTACCTGGACATGGGAAACAGAGAGGACATGAAACAGTGAGCAGTACAGAAAGAGCAGTTAGCGTAAAAAATATAAACTGTGCAAAGAAGGATCAAGGTTTTTAAAAGACAATGCAAATACCTTTTTGTCTCCACACTGTAGGATTCTATGTAGAATTTTGATAAATATTTTAAATATGCTGCTAGTTATGCTTAACATTTGACTACTCAGTACTTATGTGGGTGCAGTTAAGGTGGAATGAACACACATTTTTTTAAAAAACCATCCTGAAAATGCTTTCTTAAGCATTTTTAAAAAATACATTGAATTTTCCATAAGGCTCAGCATCACCATCTAGTGTCACATTGTATATTGCACTTAAAACACACTTAAAACATTTCATTTGCAGCTGTATAGCTGAGCAAAAGCCAGACTCTTTAGATTGTTACCCTGCCACAATCTACTCACTAAAAGAAGTGGAAGCTAAGTGATGTGTATTCTGAAAGTAGCAATTCTTAGTCAATCATTTATTATTTCAATTTAGATTTCAATCTTAGGCCACATTTAAATAAGTAGTCAGTGTTTCCATTTCTCTCTCTCTCTCTCTTTACTTCCTTCCCCTGCATATATGACACACACACATTATATATATTCGGATGTATTATTGTTGCTTTAACAATTTGGAACCTCCCTGAGATCTATGGATAATGGACAGGCAAAAATTATTGTAATTTTCATTTAATTAAATACACAAGAAGTAAAAGATGCCGAATTTTAAAGAACAACATTCCCACATGTACAGTTAAAGTGACAGTGACACCAGGACACCACTGAGGTGAGAGCTAAACCTACTTTTGGTTTCTTGAAGGGGGAAGGTTATTAAAGCTTTCAAGCGCCATCTAGCAGCATTGCTTCCTAGCTTAGGTAAAGGTAAAGGGACCCCTGACCATTAGGTCCAGTTGTGACCGACTCTAGGGTTGCAGCGCTCATCTCGCTTTATTGGCCGAGGGAGCCGGCGTACAGCTTCCTGGTCATGTAGCCAGCATTACAAAGCCAGTTCTGGCGAACCAGAGCAGCACACAGAAACGCTGTTTACCTTCCCGCCAGAGCAGTACCTATTTATCTACTTGCACTTTGACATGCTTTCGAACTGCTAGGTGGGCAGGAGCAAGGACCGAGCAATGGGAGCTCACCCTGTCACAGGGATTCGAACCGCCGACCTTCTGATCAGCAAGCCCTAGGCTCAGTGGTTTAACCCACAGCGCCACCCGTGTCCCATGTGCTTCCTAGCTTACTGCAGCTCTTCTACTGTGCCTCATAAAACTCAATGGGCACTATAGACAGGAGAACCCAGACCTGTCTCACCTTGGCACGGGCAGATTTAGGGCAATGCGACCAGTTCTTCCACACTGGGCACTAAGCCTAGGGTGTGCCACAGGGTGTCACAACTATGAATTGAGGAGAGTGGAAGGCAAAGGGAAGGGGGCCACCAAATTTTGTCCTCACACAGGGTGCTGCTGAAATTTGAAAGACCCTGACCTTGGGTTCCATTTTCACAGCATGCTGAATTATGTCAGTTCAGAGCGGGACAAAGAGGAAAAAAATGTTGTGAATGTTGAGAGAGAGAGAGATGACAATATGTCTGTCTATGAACATATGCTTATTAGGAAGTTAGAGAAGGCTGCTTTCTCTGAGACAGAAAGACAAGAAGAACATTAGGGGGGAAATATGGTGTGAGCAGTGACTCTAGTGTCTATGTTGAGATTGGCTGATATATTTCATTTACATCAGCCTGTTGCTCCAATGGTCTTAATATTCAACTTGTATGTGACTTGTAGCAGCAGGACAGTTGAACAACACCGGCTGCAGCCTGAGTCAGATTGGATATTAAGAACCTTTGGTCAGGTATTATAAATCTTCATCTATTACCTTTAATTTATGCCTCAACAAGTCTCCGTAGCTTTATTTAGCCTGCACTCCATCTGTCACTCTTAATCTGTTCCTCAACATCTTGGCTCGTAACTTGCCTGGTCTGTGCACCAAGCCATACAGTTAATAGTAACTGGAACACTGAACTATTATTTGTGTGTCCTTAATGGAAGAATAGCTCTGATGGCTCAGATCTAATGCCCATCTAGGGCAGAATCCTGTTTTCTTTAACAACCATTCTTCCAAAAGTCACACTTCTTTGAATTTTGCAGCACAGTTTTCCAGTCAGGTAATGTGTACAAAATGCATATACTAGGGCAAATTGTGCATAAAATGCACATATTAGTGAGAATAACACAACATGCACAGACATGCATTATACTGGAGCAAATTGCTTTGCAAATATTTCTCTAAAGTTTTCTCTAAAATGCCTGGTGATATTTAAAAATTAATAATGATTGCAAACTGATGTGAAAATGTGGGGGACTGAACTGAAGACTGGGAAAGTCTGAATTTTTTTCAAACAGAAAAAGATTAGAAAAATGATAAACAATGGAGGAGATGGTTAAATCTGCAATGATAAATTGGGCCAGGGACATGGGACACATTATCAATTTTGCACTATGGGAGCAGCTGTGGAAAGTAAATGTAAAGTTTACAGCATGCTACACACTAAGAGAAAATTTTATGAAGTTGCTGCATAGGTGGTATCTGACACCAAATAGACTAGCAAAAATGTCAAAATCAACAAAGGGCAATTGCTGGAAATGTAAGACAGCAGAGAGATCCTTTTACCACATGTGGTGGATATGTAGTATAATTAAAAACTACTGGGAAAAGATTCATATTGAACTAAAAAAATGTTTAAGAAACCCTTTTCTAAAAACCCAGAAGCATTGTCGCTGGGGTTAATAACAACAGAAATGTCTAAAAAAGAGAGAGATTTGTTCCTCTGTGTGACAACAGCTGCACATTTATTACTAGCCCCCAAATGGGAAACAGATAAGGTACCAACAAAAGAAGAATGGCATATTAAAGTGTTAGAACACATGGAGTTAGCAGGGATGACCACTAGAAAAAGAAATCAAAATGATGAAAACTGTAAGGAAAACTGGATATCTTTTATTGAATATATGAAAAAGTATAACAAACACTTAAGCTAGCAGGATGGAAACATTTTCAGCAGTGTAGGAAACAACTAATGTGTATCTAAGTAGTTGCGATAGAGAGGGTGAACCAAGAAAATGCAAGAAAAAGAGGAGACAAAAGGAACCATGGAAGGAGAGGATGGGAAGTCGGTGGAGGAATGCTTTGTGACTTTCTATTTATTTTTTGATATCCTAAAATTGTTATTTCTTTTCTATTTCAGAGTTTTCTTTTTTGTGTCCTTTGCATTATTTCCGTTTATTTCTTTGATATGGAATTGTATCAGAAACGCAAATAAAAATAAATATTAAAAAAGAAAGAAAGAAAAAATGATAAACGGAGATACAGTTGAGTTGACTGTATCTCCTCTGACTGTGGAACTTTTATTTAGCTCTTCTGGTTAATAGCCATTGAAAGATATGCGCTTGATGAATGTGCCAAGTTTTTAAAAACCATCTGAACCAGTGGCCATCACTACATCTGGTGACAACAAATTCCATTTGTCAATTACTCATTCTGCAGGCTGTAATGGCTTATATATTTCTCCATGTTGTATTATACTCCTTACGACCTCATATGATTGTATTATTTTCTGAGTGGACTTGCTTTATTGCTCCTGCCTTTGTATTTATTAAAAATCGTATAACAGATGTCATTGACCATTATGCACTACAACACCCTCAGTTTTTTCTGCATTCCAAGCATTGGATTCTGCTTCTTTTTAAATTCTCTTCCAAATATGGTTTCCTCAATCCTATTTCTGATCCCATGAAAGTTTTGGAACAACTGTGCATTACATCATTACATTCTTCACGTCCCTTTTCTGAAGAGACTGTCCCTCTTCTCTGATTTTCAGTGGCAGAGCACATGTTTTGCTTGCTGAGGGTCCCATATTCAATCCTTAGCATCTCCAGCTAGATGGAGCAGGTGGCAAGTAATGGAACAGACCCATGTCTGAGATAGTAGGGAGCTGCTGCCATTCAGAATGGACAATGTCGGGAGAGATGGGCACACAATCTGACCTAGTATAAGGCAACTTCCTATGTGTGACTGATTTGTGGAGGCTTTTTCATGCTATCATGCTATTGGCTGTTTACTGAAATCGACAGCTCTGTTGTCTTCCAGCTCCCGGTCTGAAACAAACTTTGGAGATATCTCCTCTGACAGGTTGTAAAAGCAGGAGCAAAGATGCTGTTTCCCCAAGCCGAGGCATCAGCTGCTGCCCTGCAGGGGAACTCAAAGCATGATATAAAAAGGATGTGGATTTATAATTACAGCCAAAAGATTATTACTGTGTGAAACAGGAATCTAAATAACAGTGTCATTTTATGTCTGGAAGATATATGGTTAAAACAACCAAAACACAAAAAGAAACATAATTCACATGGAACAGACTACTTTCCAAAAGGTCAGTACCTCTGTTTTGGTTTAGATTTGGGATGTGGCTTAATTCAGAATTCTTCCTAGCATTGGGTTTACTGGACATTTTTCTTAATACAGTAATATCCGTTCCTTGGGTCACTTTTGCCTCTGGCCCCAGCTACCACTGGGACATAACCTTCAGAAGGTTCCCACTAACTGTGGGAGCCTAACATAACCTTTAATGCTGCAATCCTTAAGAAACATGTTTAGGATTGCAGAATAAGAGAGCCAATGTCTATTATTATTATATATAAGGCACCCCAAATTGCTTAGCATTGTTCCAAAAGCTACCAGTTGTTGTCTTCTTTAGTGCCAGCAGAAAGGGTAACATTTGTTCCTCTAGAGTTTGTTATTTGACTTTACTGGATGTATATCATCCTCGTAGCTTTCATGTAATAAACTACCAGCAATGACCATTATTTGAGCAGGCCTTTCGGACACCTACTAGAAGAGTGGCTGAGAGCAGGCCATTTTTCCTCAAATGCTGGCTCAACTACAGAAGCCCATTTATTCATTTCCACTAGTGAGAATCTTTACAATTTGCTCAGTGTGTGGTTGGATGTCCAGGAAGATATTGCCGCCAATACATCATAACTGGATAAACTGCTAAGCTGTATAGTCTGAAGAGAGCATATTGCACTTGTTTTTCATGTCGCCTAAATGTTTATTTCCTCAAGGCAGGGACCATCACTTTGGACTCTTAAAGTTCTTCCTGTCTGGTGAGAATGAATTCCATTACAGAAAGATAAAGATACTTCATTGCTCTTGGAAAGTAAGTCGGAAGGGAGAAGAGAATGAAAGGGCCTAAGGCTATGTACAAAGTTTGTGATCAAACTGTCTCCAGTCTTGGTCGTGAATTTCAAGCCCCAGACCATGGCAGTTGCTCTGATGCCTCTGGGTCCTGGGTCAATAGTTGAAACTCAGTTCAACATATCACATTTAATTGAGTTGCACGGTGTTCAATATTTGGTTGTGTGAATCAGCCTTAGCTCTGCACAGACAGGTTATATGCAGGAGTTTGTTACTGTTTTAGCATGTGTTAATTAAAGTGACAAAATGACTATGAAGTATAGCGTGGGGAAAAGAAGTTAACTGGCTGCTTGCTTGTATGTTTCTGGCATCCATCTGTCTTGAGATACAATGGAAGAGCTTGCCATCAGGGGTCAAGTTAAACCATTGGAGCGTTACAGCGCCTGCTGTGGCTGTAGACACCAATACGGAAGCAGCAATCAACCAGGGGAAGTTGCTGCTGAGTAAGGGTGGGACTGATAAGAGGCTGCAAGACTGGAATGGATGGCTTATAGTAATTAGAGGGAGGCAGGAAATGTGGTAGAAAAGCAGTCTGGGATCCTGAGCCTGTGATAGATAAGAGCAAATATTTAGGGTTATACGTAGCTCAAATTAACTCCACTACAGCTTAGGGGTGTAGATTGTTATAGAGGGGAAATGTATTTTTAAGCGGGGGGGAGGAGCGGGGGAGTAGTCACCAGACATTTAATGAATCCCGCTCATTTGTTTTATAAAAGCTAACCTGAGAAATACTGCAATCCTGTTGCAATATTTCTCAGGTTAACTTTTATAAAACAGAGCTCACAGTGATCATGCACGCATTTGGTGGTTCTCAGATTTTTATTTCTGATAGTTGCTTCTTTTAGCAAGACAGAAAACAGCTGCTCTTAGCTGCTGCCAGAATTTCATTATATTGTGTCAATAAATAGTGAATTCCAGAAAGACTGCAGTAAACGACATTTATTATGAACTAAACTATATGCAAGTATACTTGACAAGTACAATGTCAAAATTGTCCCTTCCCAGTAACTGCCTGATAGGGTATCAAAGCTGCTGTTTAAAATCTCTCAATTTGTAAAGCATTGCATATTGATGAAGGGAGGGATATTTCACATATATTAAAATGGATAACTTCTTCATCTGGCTAAATCTGAAACCATTTTGCTTAGACTTTCATGTATCTACCCTTTTTTTTTTTTAAAAAAAAAGTGATTTGAGGGACACTGAAATCCCAACACCCAGATACAGATTAGGAAGAAGCAGAGGTGCCTCCATGCTGCTTGAGAAGAGCTTTGTCAGTGCAAGAGCATGCCTTCCTCTTAGGTTGTGCTAAGAAGAAGAAGAAGAAGAGTTTGGATTTGATATCCCGCCTTTCACTCCCTTTAAGGAGTCTCAAAGCGGCTAACATTCTCCTTCCCCTTCCTCCCCCACAACAAACACTCTGTGAGGTGAGTGGGGCTGAGAGACTTCAAAGAAGTGTGACTGGCCCAAGGTCACCCAGCAGCTGCATGTGGAGGAGCGGAGACTCAAACCCGGTTCCCCAGATTACGAGACTACCGCTCTTCACCACTACACCACACTGGCTCTTAACCACTACACCACACTGGCTACGCATCAGGATAGCTCAGAACATATGAAGTTGTCAGTGGTGCTTCTTTCATTGGCAGTAGCCACAGGGAGGCCCCAAAACAGGGCATTCCTGAGATGGAATGAGGCACGGGGGGGGGGGGAGGCAATAGGAACAAGCTCTTTTGCTTCCTTGTTATTTGCTTTAATAATTGAGATATTAAAATATATCTCTCTGCTGACTTCCTGAAAACATAGTCCCCAAGTTCAGGGACCTGTGGCCTTTTAAATGTTGTTAGACTCCAAACTCCCATTAGCTTCTGCCAGCAGGACCTGTGGTCAGGGACAATATTGTCCCTGACTGAACTATATTGTCATCTGATTCTTTTAAAGCTGTTTTCAAGGACAGTTGTGTTTCTATTACAATGGTTTCTGTTGCCTATGCAAAACTCAGACAGATAGAAGCACAATGTGCTCTTCTGTTTCTCCTATTACCTTTGGAAACACAATACTAGAAATATGAATTAAAGTATGAAGAACTCCAAAGGCCTCCCTGCATATGTTCTCTCATTAAACAATCATCTCTACTATTGTGATTATCCATTTTCATGCTGGTTCATATGAAAGCTGCATCCCTGAAGTACTTTGAACAACTCTTCAATTTACCATAGTGGAAAAATGGGGTCATGGGTGGCATTGCAAGTTTTTTTTAATGATATTTTATTATTTTTATGCAGATTCCCCCAACTCCCAATTGTTACTGCATTAACTATATGTACAGCTAAACAAATGATTTAAGAAACTACAAGTTGTCTCTCTAGCAGACTACTCAAATAATGATGTATTTTTGGAGTCTGTTGACCCGCTGGTAATTTTAATGCTGCTGGGTTGGATACTTTTAGATAAACAATGTTAGAGGTGATTTTTTTTTTATTGCATTTCTCGGCATAACCATGTTTCTCTCCATTGGCAATTGTCACATTATGTAGGTTAATGCCCTGCGCAGACACCTATTGTATTTGGCAAGCTATGGAAATTAGCTGATCACATTTGGAAAGCTGAAAATAGTCTGTTCTCTCAGTTATGTTGCTGTTCACAATTATTAATAGATCTGTGTAAACAGAATGCAACCACAAATGTTAAGTCTGTTCAAATCATTTTCCATATGTGCATGAACACAGTGCGAATCTTTACAGCTGTAACTGATACGCACAAACTGCAATCAATACAGTCTAAAGTTGTGCTTTCTGAGATATCAAAAGATTAATCAATTATCAAGCCCAAACTGCTGCAAAAAGGTTGCCCTTATGTCTACATTACAGTGGATGTCAGATTAACCATAATAATGCAGGCTTTTCTTTTCCTTTTGAAAGTGTTTTTATTGAGCTTTATCCACATAACCCAAACAACAAAATAAAGCCTCAGGAGACAAACTCATAAAAACTAAACCAAACCAAGGCTGGCATGCGATGGGATGCTACATTAGCAATAAAACATGGTAATGCTGGTTATCGGGATACTTTCAATAAGATATAGGCAAGTAAGTGGTGAGTATCATCACAAGAAATGAGAGAACACTGGGGAAGGTCCTTCACAGGGCTGCTGCAATAGAGCCAGGTTGGAGAGGCACATTTTCCCCCCTCCCCCTGGGCCTTCACTTTTGGCAAACCAACCCCTTTGGTACACCCCTGCCCTCATGTAACTTCTTCAAGCAGTTTTTCTGCCGTTCTTGCCTATGCATTTTTGTTTTCCCTTTTGGAGAGTTAGATCAGCATGCAGAATCCACACTGGGCATTGTGTGTAAGACTGCCTTATTAGGAGCAAACCTCTTCTTTTCCTTTGCATGTGATTTCAGCATAATGATCACAATCTCCCCCATGCCAAAAATGTATGCAGGAACATTCTGATGGCCATTTATGCTATTGCCCCAAGAGTTCATACTTAGATGCCTAGTTTCTCTGCCCAAGCATATGATTGTCCTCTGATGAGTTATTTAAGGAAGTTTGTTCAATCAAACATGGGAGCACTTATTCAGCAGAAATCCAGAAGTATATTTAGATATACAGTGGTACCTCAGGTTACATACGCTTCAGGTTACATACGCTTCAGGTTACACACTCCACTAACCCAGAAATAGTGCTTCAGGTTAAGAACTTTGCTTCAGGATGAGAACAGAAATCGTGCTCTGGCGGCGTGGCAGCAGCAGGAGGCCCCATTCGCTAAAGTGTGCTTCAGGTTAAGAACAGTTTCAGGTTAAGAACGGACCTCTGGAACGAATTAAGTACTTAACCCGAGGTACCACTGTAGATTGCATCATCAACATGGAAGATTTAGGAGAGTTAATACTGGAGGAGGAAAAAAGGATAGAGATTGAAGAAAGAGCCGTGACTCCCTGGGAAACTCAACAAACCTGCTGTACCTGGAACCATTTGTGGAGAGAGCAGCTGAATGGGACACAGCTGTGGGCAGCCTGAGGACTCCTATAGATTTTTCATAACTCCAGGCAATAATGTCCTCGCCACTTACTAAGCTGTTTCCAAATCTACCCTCTACCTTGGGCCTGCCAAATAAAAAGCACTATAGTGCTGTCCACTGTTTCTAGGAACTCTTCTTATTGTAAGACACTTGTGGGAAAGCTAAGAGTTTGTTGGACTCTAGGTGAGAACCTGGAGGCTGGGAGGGAAGGTGGGCCAGGAGAAAAATGAATTGGTGTGTGTGTGTGTGTGTGTGTGTGTGTGTAATTGTAACTTCATAGTTTGAGTTTGACTTCACCCCCAAAGGTACACTCCTACATTATCTCCCGAGACAGACAGATGCCAACATGTAATTTTGTATTAATTTAATATTTATATGTAACTGCATAGTTTTGTGATATTTCGTTTAGGTTTTCTGTTGTTGCTTCAGTTTTCTGTACATCACTTAGAGAAATTTTTAATACATTAATTGGTATATAAATTGAATAATTCAATTTAATTTTTTAATCTGGAAAATAAATTTGCTTTCCAAAAAACTTTATTTACCTTGCAGAGATGGTCAGGTATCTTTACTATGCCCTGTCATGTAATGTCAGTAAAGCTCTAGGAAATGAACTTGAATGTAATCATATTTTCATGGTTTTTGAAATGAGATATCACAAAGCCCTGATATTCCATTCACAATACTATGCAATGGGACTTCTCAGAAGAAAGTTGTCTTGTGTTCAATGGGGCTCACTCCCAAGTAAAAGAGTGGAGGGTTGGAGCATTATTAAATTACTTATTTGCATGGGTAGCTTATCATATCATTGCTGGAACTTTTGAACACGAAAAGATCCAGTCCTTTATTTTAAAAAAGAGGAGCTATAAAACAGTGGGTTTTGCATTATAGCTGAAAACTGCTTTTTTGTGCTCTCTACCACATTATGAGGCCTGCTGAAGGAATGCAAAATGGCACTTTAATAATACATATTTTTAGAAAATCACGTATTGGATTGAAATTTCATTTCAACATAACCCTTTGATCCATTTCTAAATGCATGTGTAGGTGCAGAAATTATGAATTATTTTGAGCTACTGGTAAAATCTTTATTTCAAAGCAAATATGAGGTTTTATTTGGTTCTTCTAGCTGAATTTATTGTCTCAGATATGGAATGTTTAGGAATGGCCAGAAGTTAGAGTCAAAAAGAAGACAGTGTTGGGTTGTAGCTCAGTAGCACAGCACACACTTTGCATGTAGAAGGTCTCAGGCTCAATTCTGAGCATCTCCAGGTAGGGCTGAGGAATATTTTCTGTCTGGAACCCTGGAGAGTCACTGTAGACCGGAGGATGTCATGGTCAATAGTTTCAAAAACCAAAAAAGTGATCAAGAGCAGGAAGAAGGTCATACTCCTGTCCTGCTCTCTGCATAGATCATCACTGCATAGAAAATCACTGAATTTTTGCTTATTTGATTTCTTGTTTAATCTTAATGCAATGTAAGCTACCCTGTGGTCTTTGATGAAGGGCAATCTGTCAATGAAATTAATAATAACTAGTAATTGAGGCAAGCTGGATTCCGAAGGGGCAGAGGAACCAGAGACCAAATGCAAACATGTGCTGGATTATGGAGAAAATTAGAGAGTTCCAGAAAAAAATCTACTTCTGCTTCATTGACTATGCAAAAACCTCTGACTGTGTGGACCACAGCAAACTATGGCAAGTTCTTAAATAAATGGGAGTTCCTGATCACCTCATCTGTCTCCTGAGAAATCTCTATGTGGGACAAGAAGCTACAGTTAGAACTGGATATGGAACAACTGATTGGTTCAAAATTGGGAAAGGAGTACGGCAAGGCTGTATATTGTCTCCCTGCTTATTTAACTTATATGCAGAATTCATCATGCGAAAGGCTGGGCTGGATGAATCCCAAGCCGGAATTAAGATTGCTGGAAGGAATATCAACAGCCTCAGATGACACAACCTTGATGGCAGAAAGTGAGGAGGAATTAAAGAACCTTTTAATGAGGGTGAAAGAGGAGAGCGCAAAATATGGTCTGAAGCTCAACATCAAAAAAACGCAGATCAGGGGCACTGGTCCCATCACCTCCTAGCAAATAGAAGGGGAAGAAATGGAGGCAGTGAGAGATTTTACTTTCTTGGGCTCTGCAGATGGTGACAGCAGTCACGAAATTAAAAGACATCTGCTTCTTGGGAGAAAAGCAATGGCAAACCTAGACAGCATCTTAAAAAGCAGAGACATCACCTTGCCGACAAAGGTCCGTATAGTTAAAGCTATAGTTTTCCCAGTAGTGATGTATGGAAGTGAGAGCTGGACCATAAAGAAGGCTGATCACCGAAGAATTGATGCTTTTGAATTATGGTGCTGGAGGAGACTCTTGAGAGTCCCATGGACTGCAAGAAGATCAAACCTATCCATTCTTAAGGAAATCAGCCCTGAGTGCTCACTGGAAGGACAGATCCTGAAGCTGAGGCTCCAATACTTTGGCCACCTCATGAGAAGAGAAGACTCCCTGGAAAAGACTTGATATTGGGAAAGATTGAGGGCACAAGGAGAAGA